TGATGTTCCCAAGGGTTTGGGCATTGCTGATCTTTTCTTACTAGCCAAGTTCAAATACAAATGAAGGGTCAACAACAGGTTCACATGACGCTGTTCATTTAACAGGTATTTAACATTTTCGGAGTTTGAGATATGACGCAATTAGCCTAATTAGAGAATATGGGGGAGGATGCTAATGATTCTATATTATTGTTATTTTATATCAAGGTGTAATCAACCGCCTCTTGATATTCAATATATAGATAGGGTGATGAGGTCCGAAATTTGGGTGTTGATGTCGACGTTATGTAGTAAATCTTACATAATCTTGCTAGCGAAGGTCTGTATGTACTATGTATGGTCTTCGGAACCCTCGCATTGAGATCTTTCTATAAACCCCGCAAGGAAAGTTACGAGGAGATATAACATGAGAGCTATAACACTAATCGAATAACCTTTTCTGGGGTAACTTACTAACCTCACGTAGGTAGTTTTGACCGATGGCAATACTTTAGTCCACCATGAAAAGTCTGAATTCAAATACTTTTCTCTACCTTCAACCGATATGTGCTCTTGTTGACGTACCGGTATAACTAAGTTTCGATAGTGACTGCTAAGTACTCAAGTCGTTGTGGTGCAACGATCGCCAAGAAGAAAGTTGATAAATGTATGTAGAGATTGGTATCTATATCGATGCCTCTTGCAAATCTTCAAGATTGTACAAAAACCGCAAGCCATGCAAAACCAACACATCCAAAATAGGTCACCTACCCAGATCTGAGGGAATCATCATGCTCGTTTGGCCGCTTTGGTGATAGCCAAGGTGACCCATCGTGTTCCCTGTACACCCTGTAGGTACCGTGCCTCTGTGCGTGCCTTCCTCCAGATCATCCCCGCAATAAACTTTCTCTCTAGTCTGAGGGTTTCTGGTTTTGTGGATAAGCCACCGGCCGGTTATGCAGTCAATCATTTTACCACCCAATCACAATCATACCGCCGTCAATAAAGTAGTTTGTTATTGGATGGGTGAATGAACACCGACAATGTACCAAAGTACCTTCCCCCAGATCCCTTCTCCATGCCCATTTGTTATAAGGATCCGGCCCTTTCAGTTTAGTTGCCTTCAAACACGTTTATATGCAACCCCTTCACCCTCTTATCCGAGCGAATATTTCTTCATCTAACGACATAGAACATACCTAGAACATCACATACAGGTATCACATCTCCACTATCTCCACTCCATTCGCGATTGGCAAATCAGTCCTCTCAATGAATGGTAAGGTTTATCACGAAGCCGCTCAATGTTACATAGAATAATTGACCCACGATCGCAAAAAAGATAAGCTGAACATACCAACGCTGAGCATACCGGCTTCGCCGAAACGCACCGAAACCTATACTTCAAGACGCAAATAACATTTACCACTTCTTGTTGAACGACACAACATTGAAAGAGGACGGAAAATTATCTTCGAAATGCCCGGAATCTTACCCATGAAGATCATCAAGGTGGGCTCGTCGAGTTCACAAAGTCGGATTGCCCAAGCCTGCGATAGATGTCGAAGCAAAAAGATACGATGCGATGGCATTCGACCATGTTGTTCACAATGTTCTGGTGTTGGGTTCGAATGCAAAACAAGCGATAAATTGAGTCGACGAGCATTTCCTAGAGGATAGTGAGTTTAACGCTCTTTTATACCTACAGTCGTTACACATCGGTATTCGATTGTCTAGCATAGTATTGGTTCCTCGTTCTCTATGAACAATCTTCCGTCCACAATTGCTAACATGCTGTCTTGTAGTACTGAGTCTTTAGAGGAGAGAGTTCGTACATTAGAGGGGGAGATGAGGGAGATGAGAGAGTTGCTTGATGGAAAGGATGAGAAGATAGATATGCTCTCGAAGATGCACGACAATCGACGTCCTTCACTGTCTTCAACGTCAACTTCGCCTGCTGTCGAAAGTCGAAAAGAGTCATCACCTCCGAAGGAAGACATGTTTAAGGTCCAAGCTCCACCCCATCTATTGGAAGGCGATCATTCCAACTTGTATTTCATGGGAGCATCAAGTGGGAGAACTTTTGTCGGTAGGAAATCATAAAAAAAAATCTTTTAAGGTTTACCTCGCTAATATCTTTCTAGATATCTGCAAGCGTAAAATCCAAGACAGCGGCAAGTCTTCCGTAGGGTTTGATACAGAAACATTTTTGAACCCCCAAAATGAATCCACCTCGTTATCAACGATTACACCTGCCTCAAGTTTCGCACCCCCACGCTTATTTTCAGACAAATGTCTAAATATCTTTTTCCAAGAATGGGCACCATTATTTCCCGTCATACACAAACAGAGTTTCTTGACTCTATACGATGAATACTCATCAAATCCGCATCAAGTGGAAGATCAGCATAAATTGGCTCAGTTACACCTTGTCTTTAGTATCGCTGGACTCTCCACCGATTGCCCCGATAAGGAACAAATATCATTATGTGAGAACCAATGGCGCACAGCTCTCAACATTATTTTGATGGAGAACAACATATCGACACTGCAGTGTTTGATTTTAGCGCTTATTTATTGCATTCAAAAGGGGGACTACAATAGCCTACAGCATTACAAAGGAATTGCTGTTGGTCTGTCTCACAGACTTGGTTTACATCAAAGTCAGAAGCGATTCCCTTTTAATTTATTGGCTGCTGAGACGAGGAAAAGGGTGTTTTGGACTTTGTATACTGTTGATTGGTAAGAAATGTGCTAGAGGTTGTATCGCAAAGCTAATCTTCTATAGTTTTTCTGCTTCCCTCCTTGGCCTCCCTAAATTATTAAGGGAAGATGATATCTACGCGGAGTATCCCTCGGATATAGATGATGAACATATGAATGAGAAAGGATATCAACCCATGCTCCCAGGGGAACCTACCAGAATCTCTAGTGCTCTTGCTCTGTTTCGATGCTCACGCATCCTGTCTAAAGTCTTGGAGCAAATTTATCCCTCAGCTGCAACTCACGACTTATCGTTGCAAACGCTATTTGCTCTGGTGGCCGAATTGAACGAATGGTCTGATAATTTACCAACTCATTTGAAGCTTACATTCGTTCAAGATAAGCCATCAACGGACGTTACAGGTAGTCGATCAGCTTTATTGGTAAGTCAAACAATGGCGCGTGGATTTTAGCTCTACTCTAACCGAATCATAGTCTCTTGCATTTTACTATATTCGATCATTGATTCACCGCCCTGCTATTGGTTCCTCCCTCGGATCTAAAACTTCACCATCCGTCATTGCCTTGGCTGATTCCAGCAAACATCTCATACAAATCACACAGCTCCTTGAAGAAAGAAATATGACTTTCTCATTCTGCATAAATAAAAACGCAATGCTCACGTTGTGTGGCCTAAGCCTTCTGTATCAAGGTCTCGATATTAAACAGGAAGGTAAGTTGATGCAAGAAAGTCAACGACTCGTCAAAACCGTTATCAGATTCCTAGAAAAGGCCAATGCTCCTGGTGCAACCGACTTCAAGAGACTTGCGTCATCTCTGATTAATTTGGACAGTCAGAGTCTAGACTGTAGAACTAAGTCGGCACTATTACGCACTTCTTCGACCATGTCTGCTCGAAAAATTTCAAAGCCAACGCCATCCTCCTCCGTCGTTCCAAGAAAAAATAACCAACAACAACATCCATATACGCATATTAGTGCTAGCATGAGCGAAAATGACATATTAGCTCAACAAGAGAAGATTCGACGAGCTACGTTACCAAATTTATTCAACCACACTTCACAAAACCAGACATCGGCTCGATCATCCTATGACGGAACAAGGACCGATTCTCCGATGACCAAGCGCGAAAATCGCAGCTCCCTCTCCCAACTATCAAAGCCTCGATATAACACAATTCCAAAACCACCGAATCTGGACTATTTATCCTTGAGCAATACGCCAATTACTTCACAACAGTCTTCACCAACGATTTCGCGCACTGCTCCTCCAGGACCAAGTTCTCATAGCTGTCAGCTTATGTACAGCAGGATTGATAATCAACCAAACGAATGGGCTATACTCGCTTCCTTAGAAAGTGGTGAAAGCAACATACACAGTGCTATCTATGGTGGGCCACCGCCTAGTCTTACAGAAACAACTCAAAGTGCTCCTTCAAATGCGAGTTATGAGGATTGGTCTTCAACTACCTTTTGGGACGATATGACTTCTGCAAATATTCACGATCCCTTGGCAAATCCCGGAGCTGCACAGAGTGTATTGAGTTTTAGTGGGGAGAGTCATAGTTCCGGTGACGAACTATCCACTAGTGATCTTGGAATGAACGGGAACACGCAGTACCTACATGAGTCATTACCACATTGTGATGATTACATGCTTCAGCTCATGCGTTATTCTTAAACATTCGTCTTTTTTAAATGCCCTTGGCGTCTTGTGAATCTTATTATGGGTTATGGGAGAGGTTATGCTGTGTCGTGTCTTGAGAATACCCATATGAGTGTGAGATCGGCGTTCAATACTGGGAGGTGCGAGATTTGCAATTTGATCCTATGAATGGGCTGGCGTGGCCTGGGCAAGAATTGGTGGTTGTTAAGGCGTTGGATGGTTGACACTTTCGTTCGTTACTATCTGGCGTACTTGTATCACTTGACGCACTTGGTTCGGGTCTACTTGCACTATATGCTTATTTCAACTTTGATGGATTGGTACCTAGAAATTAGAAAAAAACATCAAAACTAAAATTCAAACCAAGCTCGCTAAAATTTAATGTGTTCCTTGAAATGTCTAATGGCTCAATTCTCTAACATGAATGATACATGCACCTTGGCCCTACATATATTACCCACGAAAAGTCTATGACACTAAACGTTTCTACTTTCCTAAATAGTCCAATTCATTTCTCCACAGTCCCAACCGGAATCTCAAATCATAAATTTCCTCGTGAATATTGCGCATGTCATGAGCTTCCCCGGATTTTACCGAAACAAGACTAGTGTCATTCACCGGACCTCGGTCATTATCACATGCTAGTGTGGATGCGACCCTGCGACTCGTGAACAGCCGTTACTGCTTGCGGACTTCATTTAATAAGTACCTTACTCCCGTACCTGAATTTGTCGAATACAATTATATCATTTACCACTCGGCGAATCTGCAAATCTGTTGAAATTTATCGAATGATACATATTACATCGTGTAGTTGAAACAAGTCAAAACTAAAGCAAGCCTATCAATACAGCAATTACAATCATGTCTCTCAAGAATGGTAAGCTCCTCCATTTCCGGACCTTCCCATTCCACACCATCCTTTTACTAACCCATCAACCCGCAGACGCATTCCCTTCCTCTGCAGCCTTCGACGCTATCGCCTCTTCCCTCGAATCATCCCCCACCGACCGCGCCGACGCCATCAAACAAGGCAACGCCGTCTTCGCCTTCACTCTCAAGAACAAAGCGGGCGAAACAGCCGATTGGCACATCGATTTGAAGAAGGAAGGGAAGGTCGGAACAGGGCTTGGAGAAAAACCAACAGTAACGTTGAGTCTGAGTGATGAGGATTTCGGAAAACTGGTAGCGGGAAAGGCGAATGCTCAGAGACTGTTTATGGGAGGAAAGTTGAAGGTTAAGGGAGATGTGATGAAGGCGACGAAGATGGAACCGATTTTGAAGAAGGCGCAAGGAGGTGTGAAGGCGAAGTTGTAGATGGGTGGATCCGTGTGTGGAAGGGGAAGGGGAAAGGGAATGAGAGGGTGGGTTTGCTGCGCTTTGTAATGGGGGGTTTAGATGTCGAGTCGATAGATCTGATGTGGAGTGATATTCTTGGGTACCTTTCGACCGGAAGAAACGAGAATCGGCTTGGATAGATTATTTTTTGCTTCTGATAGCAGGATAGAATGCGTGCGGATCTGCCGGGGGAGAAGACCTGGCTAGTGGAACCGTGTTTGTTTTGATATCTTCAGACAAGGAATGAAAGATGCATTGTCATTTATATTTTGTTATTTTACTATTGTATACGATCCTTTTGGATGGCACTGAAAGTCGATGCGTTGAATTTTGCATAGTTTGCTTCTTCTATACATGTATCTACCTTGAAATATGGTAAGTCCATGAAATCGTGTCTCCTATTCAACTAAGTACATCTCAACTTCACACATTTGTTTACCTACCTTGGATTGAAAAGGAGAACCGTCTTGTATCCTTTGGTTTATGTCTGCTCATTTGTGGCTCACTCCATTAGTTGCAACTCAACTACGGAACTCATGCAGCGATGAAATCCTGGATAAAATCCAATCGAGTTCTCCCATTCAATTTAACCGCTGAATTTCAGTATCCGATCTCATCGTCGATTTCTGTTTCATGGCAGAAATCTCTACTCTCTCCTGATTTCTATTCGATGAGAAATGATCAAACCTCCTCCGTCCCTACTTCTCTCAAACCTATTGCCTGCTTTAATGAAGGAAGTACTTTTCAGCAACGTACCTATCACTAATCTGGTCAAATACTGCAAAGTTATCTTATTGTCATGTCTAGACATCTCCGTATTACATACGTGTTTTTGCACTCTCAAAAATCGAAGTTGCATCTTTTGGCTCGCTGCAAAGTCGTCTGTTTAGGTGTTCATTTTGTATTAGGGTTGGTACCTATCAAGGGATATCGGGAGATCGAGATATTTCCAAGTGATTCAAGTGGATGAGATGTGGGTGTTTCTTGTTGCTTCGTTCTCCTTGGATGCTTCCTCTCATGTTATGTTGGGTTCGTTGAATGATGGAGATTTCACATGCACGCAACCAGTCTTCTTCGGAAATAGTTATTCTCTAGGATTCAAGCAGCCGGAAAGAACTAGATCAATTTTTGAGTTTTTGACTTAGAAGCGGTTGATTGAGACAGTGATGTCTCTAGTCATTGATAATATCATTGTGACTCCAGTAACACAAGTGGTCGAAAATGGTTCCGAAGTTCGATGTGAAATCTATCAGGATCGGAAAGACTGTAAGAACTGGAGAATACTGGAGCTACACCGTGACTTTGCCCTTTCGATCACTATACGGATTCCAAAACTCCCATCGCAAAATTATGGATGGCATGATCGCCCAGAAGAAGAGGGTGCCAGTTATGCAGCGGCGTCGCATCTCAGATTTCTTGTGACGACCGGAACTAGCCAGTGGTTTGGCAATCTCTATATTAGATGAAAATGCCAGAGTCAAACGAAACCTTCTTGGGGTGGCCATAGATGTATTAGATTCATCCAAAGATAGAATTGCAAGAGCATATATAGATATTTGAACCCAGCATGAGTCTTAAATTTATTTCTACTCGTGCAATAGAAATAATATCAAGCTCAGAGGAGTTATATTTTGAATCATGCGGTTTCTTAATAGAAGCAATTATTTGTTCCAAGTGCTTTGATGAAACACAACCTTGGAAAGTTATACACAGATATATGAGGGGACTTTGTGTGAAGATACAATGATTCATTTGATTTATTCATTATTGAAAGTACTCGTGAATACTCACGGATGCTTCGATTAATCAATGGTCATTCATCTATATAGGTACAGATAGCAGTTAATTAGTTCTGTATATTGACTTCACTAAAACAAATGAGATAGGAATGTCGAGTTACTTCCTAGCTCAACCAATATTTTCAAAATATGCTAAACTAGAGCTTTTAATTAGAATCAGTATTGGATTTCGAAATAATCCTATATCGAGATGTTGGGAGTGTTGACGTTGTTGATATGAATGAACTTCGGTTCGGTACAGAGATGTTATAGCGACAAGTGCATATAAAAACCTCGGAGGTTTTTATCTACCACCGCTGTTTTAAGAGAATCAGAGCTAAATCTAAGCGATCTTAAAGCGGCAGTAGTACATAAAAACAGTATCATTGGCCAGATCAGAAGCGCAGAATTTATAGTGGAGTCTGCTAAGCGGTTACGTGATACACGGACATCCCTTTTATACACGCAATGGACTTTCAATTATCGATAAAAAAGCACTTTTGATTGTGATTGCACGCTAAACTAATATATGAGTTAACTCATTGATGTAGATACCCATTGAATCATCGCACGATCGATTCACCCATCGTATGATAGATACTCTCCTTCCGGCATCGATACTTTCTTGACCTTCGCATCTCGCAATTGAAAAACCCGCCAATGCTCCACCATTTCCACGTAATGCTTCTATTCCACCCCGTTATAACTCATTCTCCCCGCGCTCCCATCATCTCTCAAATTACCGTGTGGTCATGTGATCAAATCCACCTCCATCCATCAGCCAAGCCGTGGACATCTTGCACCGCTTCCAACAACCGTTGGCTCCGTCGTCTAATTCTTTGATCAGCTCTTCTCAAGCGAGCTCTTTCCCTATTGGACAGAACTCTACGTTGGACCCTTCGCCTAGCGAGACGAGCGTTTTGGCGGGTAGCATTTGCTTCTAGCGCTGTGATGCGGGCCTCGGAGTTATCGCTTTGCATTCTCAGTTCTGTGTTGCGATTCTGAGACTCATTGTAAAATGCTTGAGACTCATTGTGGAGTGCTTGAGATCCATTGTAGAGTGCTTGAGACTGATTGTAGAGTGCTTGAGACTGATTGTAGAGTGCTTGACACTGATTGTAGAGTGCTTGAAAATCTCCAGCCATCAGTTCCAGCCTTAAGATACGGTCTCTAGAATCATCATCCAGTGCCTCATCATTCCTCGCAACAATTCCCGCATTCGGTGGTGGGGGTTGTTGTTGCTGCTGGCCCTGCGGATTGCATTCTTGCTGTGGGGCACATTGCATATCTGCAGGTCCGTACTGGCAGGCCAGGAATTCTGCAATGATAGAAGCAAGTTGTTCTTGCGTAAGTTCTCGTTGCAGAGCTCCGAGTCGAAAGATGAGGCTTTGCTTACTCTCCGCTGGTCTGGCTCGAGCGATGTTGTAGTTCTTTCTGGCCAGCTTGTCGACCGCCGTTCGTAACAGGAAGACTGTCCAAAAGCTTTGGTATTGTCCGAATAATAATGGGGCGTCCATTGTATCGGATCTTTATAAGTTAGTATTCAGTGAACAAAGGACATGTGAGAAGAGGACTGAATGCTCTGGATTCATATACACTCAAGAAGGCGTAGCGCTAGCAATAGAGTGTCTGTGATATCGCAAGAAACAAAAGAATTACTTACTATTTTTAACGTGTTTGGAAGACTGGAAGAAAGTTTTGAATTGTGGAACCTCGATACAGAGGCAAAACAGGGAGGGAGAACTCTTTGGATGACCTGTTGCGCCTTTTTCTGTCTTGAAGCTTGATATTAGGCTCAAGAAAGAGGTTTTGAGAGATCGTTTTTTCCGTTTCGAGTCTTGAATGAAAGGAAGAAGAGCTCAATTGTTCTAGGGCTTCTTATTCGATCTTGAGATCTTGAGCTAATAAAAGATGTATGAATTGTACATACAAACCACAATCAGTTGGATTTCTGAATTGGTGTTTGTTTGTGTAGAGGGGAAGAAAGTTTACAACAAGAAACGAAGGCGGAAGGGTTTTTATTAGAAGGATTAAGCTAGTTTAAAGTAGGCTTGAAAGTGATGTTGAAAAGTGAGCTTGAAAAGTGAGATTGAAAAGTGAGATTGAAAAGTGAGATTTGAAAGTGAGATTTGAAAGTGAGATTTGAAAGTGAGCTTTAAAAGTGAGATTGTTGATTAGTGTGATAGCAAGTCGAAATAAATTATTCTGAATAATTTAAATAAGGTAATTAGTGAATGATAGTTTTTTAGAAGTAAATTTAATTATATGTTTTTTATTTTTGATCGTAAAAAAAATTTTGTTTTGAGAATTAATAAAAGAATTGAATGATTTATAATATTAGAAATTAAAGGATATTATTTCGAAAGAGATAAAGGTTCAATAGTAAATCTAATAAATCTAATAAATCAATTATAATAATAATAATAATAATAATAAATTTGAACTCGAGCGTAGCGAGAATCGGAGGATTAGGGGCTGGCCCTCGTATATATTATAGAATTAGAATTAGAATCTATATATTATATTAATACTAGCTATCGGAAAAAAAGTCTACGAATTCCTAGGGTTTCAAAATTATTATAATAATTAAAAAGAAAAAAAAAATTCTACGAATCCGTAGTTTGAAAATTCTTTTTCCCCGACGACTAGTAATATCACTAGAACTATATTATTAGTAGAAATATTATTCATAATAACATTATTAAATTTTAATACTAAATACTTTAAGTTTAAAACATTTAGATTTCAAATGAAAATTGAATTTTAGGACTAAAAGTATTCAATCTTTTCAAAATCAGTAATCTTAATCCTTTTTGAAGGGTTTATATATATATTAACAATCAAATTTATTAGGAGATTTTTAGAATATGTTTTGATTAATTGAAAGAAATAATAGTTATTGGATTTTAAAAGATTGAATATTTAATTTAATTTAATAAAATACTAAGCGGCCGACTAGTTCCTAGTTGGGGAAATCGAATATCCCTGGAAAGCGAATTGTCCCTGTGAGATTTGAGTTTAGATTTTGTAATTTTTATTGAAAAACATTTCAATTTCATTATCTCATCCTCAGACCTATAGTGATTATATAATGTCGGTCTTGATTTCGAGACAGGGCTTCCCGAAGGTTTACTATAGGATTTGAAACTATTTGATTTCAATTTTGATATAAAAACTAATAGTTCGTTATTTTTCAAATTTTCAATTAAAAGTTATAAATCATTCAACGATTGTATCAAGTTAGTATAGAATCAATATATACAAATAGATTTTCTTATTATTTTAATATAATTTTTATTATCATAACTTTATTCAAATTGTCCTTTGAGAGTGAGTAAAAGGGTATCAGTTTTGCTAGTATCTTCATCACATTTGGCTTCAAGGACATACACTGTCGCCTGTAGGTAATCGCGAGCGTTACAATTTGATGGTATCGGTGTCGGTATTGCTTGTTTGATAAATAAAGAATCCATCAGAGCTCGGAATGATTCTTTGAGTTTGTTAGTTTTCTATATCACATTCATAGCATCCCAATTACAATATCCCATATCTCTAAAAGCTAAGATTTTCAACGACTTCTCGTATTATATCAATTAATAAAATAAAACCTTGAGATTTCTTGATAGATATTATATTTCGAAACAAGCTCCAAAGCTTTATACAAATAACTTAATACTTGATTCATTGTTATAATCATCTACTTCTTCATATTGATGAACTTCAACAATATAATAAGTATTATTAGCCATGCCAATCGGATCAGTTGATGGAAAGCTAAGTTCAAGGCGGTAACAAGTGAGATAATCTTTCATTCAGTAGCGACCTAGATCCGCGGTGGGATAAAAAGTGATGAAGATATCATCAAACAGCCAGTTCAGCTTTATTTTTGCTTCCAAATTTTTGCACCGTTAATGAAGTTCCCCACTTAAACACTAGGAAGCGCTTTCTGATTACCGCGCGGCGCGCGCAAACCCCTGCCTACAACGACCTCTTTCCTCTCCAGTTCCTACAAAACTTATATTTTGCTCTTGTCTATTCAATTTCCTGTGTGAAGTGAGTGCGCGCTTGATGTGAGAAGTATATCTGATCCAAAGCAATGAAACAAGAACCTTGAGTTGAGTTGAGTTAATTTTCAGATGAGAGGCTTGCTCACTCTTTATTTTACTTAAGTTGAAGACTTGGAGATTTGATGCGCCATTGCGCGAGAGCGCGCAATTAAGCTATGTCAGTGTCAACTTCATTCATCCCAAAGCCTCAAAATAAATAATAACAATTCACTTCCTCTATCAATTCCCTTGACCCACCAAAGCCGCGCCTCGCCTCAACTCACCTCCCACCCAACAAACAAAATGGCAAAAAATGGTAGTCATAGCGATCAAGTTCCCCCGGGGCGCCGTGGTCTAACTCTTGAGTCGTTACAGTTTCCCCAGTCTACCTGTATGAAGGCCCGCAAAGGTCCGTCCTACATTCTCGGACTCGCCAGTGCGTTATGCTTTCCCACCAACTCGGCCAGAAGACCGGTTGGACACATTGTGTTGAAGACCGATGCGCAGGAGGGTATATGAAGTGGAAGGTGAGTGATGGGGTGGTGTAGTTGGAGAGTTGATGGGTCTGGTTTGGGATTGATTCATTTTTGATCTTGAGATTTTTTGGTGCGCGATGCGATGAATATTGGATTCACTTGTTTTGTATCCACTTTTCGAGATGAAGATTTATTGTTGTTTTTATGATGCCTAGGTAGTACTGGGCGTGAGTTATTGAAGTACGGAATTTGATTTCTCAGTGTGGTGCGGTCAACGTCGCCGCATTACTAGCCTCACGACGTCTAGATGGCAAATGTATGAAGAGCCAGCAGATTGTTCAACGAATCTAATGGAGACGATTATCATCCCATCTAATGCGTTAAGTTGAGTTAGTATCAATTATATTTTATCCTCAAATTTTGCACTACAATTGATTTTGAGTACCCAATATATTCACATATTTCAGCCATTTGAGCTGCAAATGTTTCCACAGGAAAAGATCTTTGATATTGATTTTAAGTAATAGCCACATTTCTGTGAGCATTGAGAGCCTTACGGCAGTTTTTCATAGCAATAACCTTTTGCCGAAAGAAATATTTCAATGCAATACTTCGAACTCTAGTCAACCCCCGAGCCGAGCGCATTTGCTGCGTCCAAGGAAAGATGCAAATGTCACCCTATATTCTTCTTCCATTACCCATCATGAACACATATATTACACAATTAAACAAGCGGGTGAGAAGGTAAAGCATCAAGGAATGCCAATCTTGCTAAAACACCAGCTTTTCGAAGGAAAAAAGAAGGTTGACTTGGCATTCATGAATAACTACAGACACCTCTCAGTTTTTTATCCATCATAACCAGATTTTTTGCACTCGCACCCCAAACAAGCAGTACAACACGCACCCTAGTGATAACCAACATTAGTTTCCTTCTAACATAAAACTCTGCTTCATCTGATGAGTAAATCGAAGCTTCAAAGCCCAAAGTTTGGCTGATAGAATCTGAAAATTCCATCTGCCAGCCAGATCTCGCATATCCTGACGTAGACCTAACATGACATTCTTAATCAATTTAATGGAGAAATTTCACTAGATCTCTTGGCGAGTAGCTAGTCCGTCCCTCGACTTCTCGAATCGCGCTCGTAAGTTTCGTCCGCGAACTGACACGAGAATTAAACATGCATGAAAAGCATTCTCTCGCAATGTCTCCTGGCGAAAAATAAAATGCGGGAAAAAATATACTTAATAAGTGAGACTGGAACTTTCTGCAGCATGCGCATTTTAGGTCTCTAAAGCATAGAAAGGCATGGGTATAAAAAGAGTAAGAAAATTGACAATAATATTTGACATTCCGCTGGTAAAAGCTGAATAAACATGTTCCCTTGAATTTCTAGTTATTACGACTTCTGTACTTCAGTACTGGAACATGGATCATCAGAACTATCATTGATACAGAGAAGAGTTGGGGAAACATCGAGAATAACAAAGTTAAAAGCGTCTCTTCTCCATTCAAACCCCCTCCCGGCATCACCTTGTTGCTCGAGTCTTTTATTGTGCCATCATATCAGAAAATTAACTAATTAGGTATATCAAACTTTGATCCAATTATTGCCTCCCCATTTCCACCTTGACTATTAACGCATTCTAAATCAACACTTCTTCAAAAGCAACCCAAAGAGCAAATAATACCATGCGTATATATCCCACCCACCACACACCCAACCAATTCCACCCAAAACCCCAAAAGCACAACCCCAGCCGCGCCTCACAACCGCAGAAATTCATCTCCAACCTTAATCTCCACATGCAATGCACACCCGCAACTCCATGCCACATACGCGCAGGCATCTACCGCAAAATCCACTAGGTAGTTCCATGCAACATGACAGGCATTCCATGCGGGATAGCGACCCGGTGCGGGATGAGCTAGCTTCACACCTGACGAGCGGCACAGTCTCGACTTGTAAACTTGACCCAGGGCTTCAAACGTGCTAGATATATCTCTGTGCTTCTCAGACGTCGTCCCATTTTGTTCCCCATCGTCAAAGGCAGAAGGAAGCACTTCACTTCCCACCCTTCCCAATCCAAATATTCAAATTTCCCACCATGGCAAAAATTTCAATCGATGGCGTAGTTCTCATTACCGGGGTAAGCAACTTTCTCATCTCCTCGTCTCATCATCTCATCATTGCGAATATCAATCATCAATCACAATCACCAAGCTAACCCATCCACCCCTTCCCACAGGCTGACTGAGGAATCGGCCAACAAGCCGTATGCTCCTTTGCGGAAGCAGGAGACCGTGCCGTAGCTCTCGCGGACATCAATGAAGAAAATGCCCAAAAAGCTGCAGAGACTGCCAGAAAATATGCGACCCATCCTAATTTCCGAACTTTGATCATCGGAGTCGATGTTGCAGATGCAGAGAGTGTGCAGAAGATGATTGATGTGACGGCGAAAGAGTTGGGACGCATTGATTATGCTGTGAATGGGGCTGGGGTACAAAGTTCTTCTTCCCTATTCTTTTTTGGTACTTTCTCGATTTCATGCAGTGTGGAAACAAAGAAACTCATATATATATATATATACATGTATATATGAACTAACGACTCCCAAACCCACAAAATCGATCATCCCCCCAACAAACCATTCGCAGAAGTATCAATCGCAGACTTCGATAAAGTGATGCGTGTCAATACCAAAGGCCTCATGCTCTGCGTGCGGGCCGAAATCAACGCCATGCTCGCGGAGTCATTTTGAACGTGGGCTCTGCAGATTCGTATGCGGGGCTGCCGGCAAAGACGGCGTATACGGTGTCCAAACACGCGGTGATGGGACTCACGAAGATAGCTGGTGAGTTGACTGGTCGCATATGAATAACATCAGGTGCTGTTCATATAATGTATGCTTCATCCTGAAACCGACTTTGCCTTAGCACTCGACCATGCTGCCGATGGAATTCGCGTCAATGCCGCGTGTCCCACCTGGGTTCGTACTCCTATGGTTGAAGAGGAGTGCAGAAGAAACCCAACCGTGATGCAGATGGGGGAGTCATAGTTTCGTTGAAAAGAATGGCTGAGCTGGAAGAGATCGCTGATGTGAGTGATTGTTTTCTGATGTAGCCCTTCTGCAAGTTGTGTAACGGGCACGGGAATCATCATTGATGCTGGAGTGACTTTGACCGTGCACATGCACTGAATAGATCATACTATGGACTGTGGGGTTTTCGGTAGTCTAGGAAAATCTGTTGCTCTGAAATAATTCCCACTCTTTTGATTATTCATGAAAAAACGAAATCCCTGAATTGCGGGTATGCCCGACGCTTATTGGAGAATCAAAAAAGTCCACAAAACTCCGTGGTAAACTGAAAGTGTAACGATCTGACTGCTATTCTAACAAAACATGCCGATACCAAAAACGATAGCCATCACCAGGTTTACTAATACCCTTGTAACAAGACCTGTTCCGAGGACATCAATCTCTCACACTCTCAACACAATGCTGAGGCCGGGCCTAGATTAGGGACAGAAGAAAGAAGAAAGAATGTGAGTGTGAGGCACAACGCGCCAACACAAAAACTCGATATAAAACATTTCACAGCACATTCCCCAACCATCATCAATAACACCTTCAATAACATGGCCGCTAGACTTTTCACAAATAACCATACAACATACTAGATGCTACCTACCTTTCTTTGCACATTCGCTACTTGCGTTATTCCCAGCCCACAGATCAATCCCACAAAGCTCATACCTACCAGCCTTTCCACACCAGTAGTAGAAGACGCTGTGATATTGATCATTCCAAGATACGAGGCCATTTTCCCAGATCCGCAAATGGCACGACTTGTAATTCATGCGGATAGTGGAAGCCGAAACGGATAGATGGGAGTTTCACTGCAAGAGGCTGTAGCAATGAACAAGGACCGTCTCTAGGAAAAGCGCTTTGTGGGATGTGAGAATGTTTGATAGGCATAAAATCTGCATCAGAGAAGGAAACGTCTTTTTTTTTTTTTTGGCTTGATAAGAAAAATACTTCCGAGCGGCTGAAAAGGCATCTTCGTGTATGTCATTTGACTTGTGTCTCATTTTTACTTTGTCGTGTATTATACACTGGAACTTTCCGTGAAAGAGAGGGGCATGTTGTAAGGGATGTTGCGAGGAAGAAAACACTGCTCCGCTATGGACTTTAATTCTGCGATAAACCCGAAGCTGCGCATGTAAATTAACCAAAATCGAATAGCAACATTAACAACTTCACGGTCACACATCAATATCCAAAGTCAAACAAATTGAGAGAGCAGTAATATAGCATTGATTATTTCTACCACTGCTAGATCCCAACCCTCCTCACGATCTTCTAGTCCGTAGTCCAGTCCATCATGGGTATCATTTATCAATCTTAGATGTTATATGTAACCATCTATTCGTCATCCTCCTCAGCCTCATCACCAACAACGTTGAAGAATCTCAATTCGTAAACGCCCTTGGAGGTGGAAACAACACGGAGCCAATCTCTCAATTGGTTCTTCTTGAGGAACTTCTTGGTCCTATTATCGCCACGAATTAGCATATATTCTCATGCCAATAGAAATGTGAAGTAGAATTTCATGGGAAAAAACTTACAAGTACTTGAGGTAGTGACCAGAGTTGACAGAGGTCTCGATCTTGATGCTCTCTCCCTCCTTAGCGATGGTGACCTTGTCGCCCAAGTTGCTCTTCAATCCATCGACCTTAAGGTTGTCTTGGAGAAACTTCTCGAATGCAGCGGTATCGAAGATCTTGTCGTTGGCAGGTTGCTTGCAGTCGATAACAAACTTGCGCTTGACGACTGGTCCCTTCTTGTTTCCGGCCTATTTGAAAGAAAATAAGTTAGCCTACTGTATCACGCCATAACTCTGCGGTAGAGCGGGCCAACAGCAAAGCGATTCTTATTCATGGACGTACTTTGGCAGGCATTTTGATTGATTTCCGTGTGGTCGCAAAGAAATGGTTATCCTACGCCGAGTTGAATGTTGATGGAGATTGAAGTAGGAGGTTCGAAAATCTGAAATTTTCTGTGTGGGCCGCCAAGAGTTTGAGTCGCTTATCGATTATGTAATTCGGAGCTGAGTTCCGTGGATATGTGCCTTAATTAAAAGGCATCAATTTGAGAGGGCTGAAAGTGGGGAACAAAAGCTTCAATAGTTTGTTTACTCAGGTTCGGCATTTGTTGTTCATCATGCAGGAAGAACCAGCTAGGCCAGCTAGGTATTGAGTACGAGTAAGTATTCATGAAGTCGATCTCTCCAAGAGCGGGAAGCTTCAATTTTCTACAACGGCTTGGCTACTGCATTTTTCATGTCGGTGAGGGCAATACAAAACATTCAATCCACCTTTGTACTCTGTATAGCTCAATCGGTCAACGGGTACATGATTGTATTGAAAAATTGACAACACAGCAATAATCACAACGTGCATATTCCCAAATGTTTCATGTTCTAAAAGATAATTGTAATCGGATTGTAATCATTCATTATATTATCCATCCACCTATTCCTCTGTACAATTCCCCCCCTGAAGACCCATATCGCACCGCAAGTCCGTAGACATGCTGCCAAAAAAACCCAACGAAAAGAACCATTACATAAAAAACCCATGTATGAAATGCGCAAGAAAAAGTATAAAATCAGAAAATCATAATCGTCCCAAATGACCCATGTCCATGCATGTTTATGTCTAACTCCCGAGCCATCATAATTTCAAGCCGAGAAATGTTGTTCAGCCGACTCTTCCGATGCCAAGAGGTTAATTATTCATTAATATGTCTGAGCATGAACCGCATTGGTCAGGCCTGATTTCGAGAAGATGTAAAAGAGGTAGGAAGATGATTGGAGGTATCGTATGATCGAAGTCGAGTGTGGTATATCGTTTATTTTTGAGCTTGAGGAAAGTCGTTGTCATGAGAAGCTTAATACTTCAGAATGATGTATAGAGCGTGGATGATACCGGGGATATATCCAAGGATGGTGAGAAGGACTATGAAGCATGTTAGTATTTTGATCATTTGCGAGTAGCAACGTGTGGATAGTCCTACTGTTAATGAGCAAATCGGCACCGCAACCTCTCTCAAGGAAAACACCAAGAGGTGGTAAGATGACGGCGAGAATAATCTTGCAGATATCGCTATTGTGAAATGTCAGTATGCGATACTCTTTGGTTTGATTGACTCTACTGCCGTGCGACAAAGTCTAAAGTGATTGGATTGGGATGGAGAGTGATTCTTACCTTGCTGTGAAAGGCATGATGTTGGATTTATTTGGTAAAAGGTTTATTTGACGTGTGTTGTTGGTTGATGGATTGATGGGTGTCGTGGAAAGGAAGAGTTCTTGTTCTTTGTCTTGATGTTCGATGTTTGATGTTTGATGTAGAGAAGATTGGAATGTATGTTTGCAAAAAGATTGGAATGTATGTTTGCAAAAGTAAGTAGCTAACCCAAGGGAAAGTGGACCTTTATGTATGAGCACCGAGAAGAAGTTTGGGCTTTGGACGTGTGGAACTTGAATGGTACGATTTCCCGATTTTGCTTGAGTCGGAAGTACAACGTCACTAATTTACCTTATTTCATCTCTTATTATTAACCCGCAAGAAAAGAGTTGGCACTATCATGGCCGAAAATAGATTAGATCGTTTGGAATTGTGGTGAAGTGTGGCCCAACCAAGAAATTCTACGATATTGACAAGACCAACCACGGTGACCAGTAAATGGTTAAGCCACATTACGTCATGATATCTTTTCCCATTTCTCCCTTCACTTGCTTCCGCCATCATGTTTTTAGATTTATCTTCCAAGGGAAATTACAACATCAGTCAGCCAATCTTACCTATTGAAATAATTAAATCCGAAGCATGATAAATGCACATCTAGCAACCTGCATGATATTAGAATTCTTGTGTACAACAAATAAATTCTCCTTGTTTGTATGGTTCTCGCCGATTTTGCGACGATTCAACAATAAAATGGAACGAGTACAAAATGTGAAGTAGCATCACATCATGGTAATTGCCGGGAGTGTCGGAAATTGACTTTTCTCAGTGCCGCATGCATCCCGATTGGTTTCTTTTCTGCTGCGGGGACCTTCAGGTGTGGCTCTGTGGCTGAGTTGTGGCGGTTCGGGGAATAACTTCATGTGATTGTAAATTCAATATCTTATTCGTCTCTCGCTTTAATCTACACTTTGCTAAGCCGCATACACGGCAAAGGATATGTACATGGAACATTCGGAATTCTTGGCTGTCAACTTCATCGTGTGATTGATCATCTCGAGATCATTTCTTCCAATTGATTATCTCGACGTTCCGAATCCCGAATCTTTCCAAATTCAAAGCCACGATGAAATGACGAGGTTGGGTTGTGTACTGCACAGAAAGGATCCTAGTATTTCTTGGGTAAACGCGTATTGGTGCGTACTGGTGCGTATTGGTGCTGTATAAGGCTACACGAGTCAAAGCGACGTCTAGACTCTAGATCCTGCATTTAGAAAGCTTGGTCTATTTTGATCTGCCATGTGGCTGAGTATTGGTACAAACGGTGTCACGGTATCAGCACAAAAGATCGCACATAATAGGTTTGTGAGAAGATACGTTGATTCACATTTCATTGTAGGTAGCTTGACTGTACTTATTACACGTAGGTAGTCGAAGTTACCCCCCTAAGACCATATCGTTACATAGGGTACTGTTCTAGAAGAATCTCGACCGTTTAGCTTATGAACGAATGCATTGAGAAGCTCATGACTAACTTAATTGTACTGCACATTCAAACGAAGAAGGGCTATATTTCTTGATCTGAGTAGGTAAAGTTTCGCATGAGACATCTGCTATGTACCAATTTGGGGCTGAAAGGGTATTGAGCACACACATCATTTCCGATGCTGGATTATGGATGAATATATGGTCCGGAGATATCAGTCTATCAAGTGAAGATTGGAATACACAATCAGCGCGCGTCTAATCCTAATTAGCTGCTCACACTTGGGGGACACCAATACAACCTCGTTGGAAATTCAAGATCTTGTTTTTTACAGATGCTCATCCGAACTCTGGCTGGACTGACTGAACTCTAAGAACGTCGAATCTTCAAATGACAATCAATGTCTACCTACGATAGTAGCTCGCCAATTGCCTAGACTTAAACAGGCTTTGAATCTGAGAGAAAAAAACCGAATCCGCAAAGCTTTGTCAGAAGTTCTAGAAGTTCTAGTGTACAGATGAGTGGCAATTATAGATAATAATATACAAATTCCGAGAGCTCCCAGTGACGAGGTGACCTCGACCAGTCGAATTGATAGACAATTGACCTTTTTATGATGCCTCAGGTATCAACCCCACCATGCCTCCATGCCCAATGCTCAGCGCATCCATACACAAATTTTATGTTTATGCACGTCCAAAGAACATCCTCTCCAACCCATCTCATAACCACCACACGATATGCCACGAGATCCTCTCATCGGCCTCGTAGGCAAACCCTCTTCAGGGAAAAGTACAACACTTAACAGTCTTACAGATGCTACCTCCAAAGTTGGTACGTAAATATCCCCCATATCATTGCATCCGACCCAAAATTACCCCTCCATTTACTTACATCTTCTCTCATATAGGCAATTTTCCGTAAGCACTCACTCTATTAACTATTTGCGCAAATACCCACCGTCTCATACAAGAAACTGGAGCAATCGCACAAGATCAGAGAGATAAAGACAAAATACTGAGCCACTTCCAGATTCACAACCATCGACCCTCAACGCGCAATTGGATATCTACAAATCGACTGCGCCTGCGCTCGCTATAATCTTCAATCCCGTTGCAAACCCAACTACGGCTCTTGTATCGATGGTCGTCGCTCTGTTCCTATCGAACTCCTCGATGTAGCTGGTCTCGTCCCTGGCGCACACGAAGGAAAAGGTCTCGGAAATAAGTTTCTTGACGATTTACGTCATGCAGATGCACTCATTCATGTCGTAGACGTAAGTGGTACAACCGATGCGGAAGGAAAAGCAACAAGAGGCTATGATCCTAGTTATGACATTGTTTGGTTACGTTCAGAGATAGTAGCATGGATTCGAGGAAATTTGATGCAAAAATGGGGATCGATAAAACGGAGACACGTAGCTGTGAAAGCTACAGCTGTTGAGACATTACAGGGCCAATTTTCTGGATATGGAAGTACAAGTGTGGTTGTTGCGCGGACGCTGGATAAATTGGCGTTAAAGGAGCCTTTGGAGCATTGGTCTGATGAAACAATTGACTTGGTGGTGAATGCTTTTACGGATGAGAAGTTCCCAACGGTCATTGCGCTCAATAAGATTGATCATGCGGATGCGGATAAGAACATAAGCAAGATTGCAAAGATGCAGGATCCAAAGAGTATAGTGCTATGCAGTGCTGTGTCGGAGGTTTTCTTGAGGAGATTGGCTAAGCAAGGCTTTGTGAAATACACTGAGGGAAGTGAGTTTGTGGATACGAGGGAGGATTTAATTGCTGATGGCGATGAAACTGGAGGAGGTCTGAAAGAATTGGACGAAAAGCTCAAAAACAGAATTGAGAATTTAAAGGATATGGTTCTTTACAGATTTGGAAGTACGGGAGTAGTACAAGTACTTTCTCGAGCAGCAGAATTGCTAGGGTTAGTACCAGTATTTCCTGTAAGGAACGTAGGAAGTTTAATAGCAGGAAGTGGTGGATCTGGAAGTGAGAAGGTATTCAGGGATTGTGTATTGGTGAAGAAAAATACTACAGTCGCGGAGTGCGCGAGAAAGGTTATGGGAGACGCTCCTTTGGCTTATGTTGAAGGTGCTGGTGGAGTAAGAGTTTCAGAGGATGCTATTGTTTCTGTTGGTCATAATGATGTGCGTATAATTCCCTTTCATGCTGGACGAAACTCTACTAACAACTACCAGATCCTCTCTTTCAGAGTTGGTAGAGCATGAGAAGCTTACAATCTTCATTTCAAAATGCATTTATGATGCTATGGACCTGGCGTTTTAGGAAGAAGGATTTAGCATAGCACATGGCGTTCATGAGGTCCTATTCAGGATTAAATATCTTCGAGATTTACTTGAGTTATGTGTTATTGACATACATCAAATATGTTCTTTCGTTCAGGTACCGGTTTTAAATTTGTGCCAAATTATTGTTGTCATGAGATTATATCCCCGCAGATTTCCTTTAGCAGTAAATATCTCAACAATAAGCGAATGGGTTATTACCGATTGATCCTTTCTACCTTTCCACGATATTTCTTAGCACAATCAAGAAAGAGCACACATTACCTAGCTTAAACTCTCACTCTAGTATACATGCTCTACGTAACCGAAAAAAGCGGCGGAAATTGACCACCATTCAAAAGAATTTCAATAATTAAAATCTCTTCTCGATATAACATCAAATAAAAAAAACACTTGTTACTAATATAAAAATGACTCAAATTTTTGTTCAATTTTTTCAAATTTCAATATTTAATTTGAAATGAATTTATAATCTATTAAAAAAGATCTGTGAAAGGGTACTCAATTTGCGCCGCTTTTTTCGGTTACGTAGAGACATGCTAGAAAACAGTCGCTTAAAACTTCTGATATATTCTTCTGCTTTAGTATGCTCCAATCTCAGGGCATTAATAATACATAGCACAAACACGAATTGACCAATCATTCACCCTCAATCGTCATACAGTAGTTCATCCGGTAAAAGGGAGGCGAACATTCCCACAACACATTCCCCGCATTTTAGATCTCGATATGGAGTTGTGACGACATCGATTGAATTGATCGATCCATCAAATCCAATCCCATCCCATCCAATACAATTACCGTCTGCCAAGTAACCACTAATGCAGAATTGAACGATTAGCTAAGGAAGCTAAGGAAGGAGAAAGTTTCATAGTGAACTATTGATCTAAGCTCTGGAAGCTATGTAATAGCCTTTTTCTTCTCGCTAGCTATATGGTTCTCGCACAATCGCATTCTGGATATCTTTTGATTTTGATTTCTCTTCGTGTATTCCTTTCGAGTATTCCTTTCGGATTTTCTTTCGACATTCTCGAGACAAAGAAATACACGTACCTGGTTCATACGTGCAATACTTATTACACAAATCAATCAATCAATCCATAATCCTAATCCCCAACTCTCTCAACCACAATCACCACCACCCACACCACCATGTCCCCCGCGCTCTCCACCTCCCCCGCCTCGCGCATCCGTCACCTAACCCCCAACCCCCGTCTCCATCTCCAATTCTTTCGCAACACCCCCAGCACCCCTCACAGCCAAGCACCCTCCATCCAACGAGCCGCCTCTCCTCTCCAACGCCGCCGCTCTTACTCCACCAGTACCGCCTACCGCACCCCCTGGACAGGGCGTCCCGCGTCCGAAAACGCAGGCACGGATGCCCCGACGGAGAAACATAATGTGCAGCATGATCAGTCGCAGAAGAGCAAGGAGGAGAAAATGAAGGGGGAGAGTGGCAGTGCGGGCTTGGAGGAGAAGCCCAGTGGACAGAGTAAGGATGCGAAGAAGAAGGTGCAGGTGGAGTTTCCAGAGGGAGCGAAGATGGGTCCGGTTATTGGGATGGAGGATGAGAGGGGTGGAGTGAGTTTCTTTTTTTCCTTTTCTTTATCGTTTACCCCTTTTCTGTTTGTTGATTTGTTGGTTTGTGTGGGGGAAATTGAGGAAGTGGAAAGAACGCTGGCTAATAAAAATGTGCAAATAGAAAGGTTCTTAAATCCCAGGAACTCTGGATACAGTGCTCGTATCTAGTATACAACGTTTGATCGGCAGAAACTGTATACTACGAGATTAAGGATTTATGGATAGACATGTCGTATCTGCATTTGCTTGAAGGCTTGCTTGCATTCTCTCTATCTGAACACCTGAATCACTAGCACTAGCGCTATCCATGTACTCAAACCAAATACATACAAAATATACACATCTGATCTCTTGAGTATTTATCAAATTGTCATTTTATCTAACACGCCGTCATCGTAAGGATCCATATTCCTCATTGCGGTTTCTCTTCAATTATTGAGAATCTTGATCATCACATTATGATTAAGTAGGATAGTCTGAATAAGCGTGATCTTGTATTACTACACCGTGTATATTATTGCAAAGCCAGTATCAAAAAATCAAATCAGGTCTATCTATCTATCTATCTATCTACTAATCCAGCACATCCATATCAAAATCTCCTCACATCACCACTATCAAAGACAAATCCTCGTTCCTCTCCGCTCCTAGCTCGCAAAGTCATACAGTCATCCACTCTTAAACATCCACTCTTAAACATCCACTCTTAAACATCCACTCTTAAACATCCACTCTTAAACATCCACTCTTAAACATCCACTCTTAAACATCCTACTCTCTTCCTCGCCATACACCCAACGGCATCTGTAGTCCCACTAACTATCATATTTATAGCTCGCCAACAGCTTCTCAGGTATCTAGGATCTCACCAACACGGGAAGGAAAGGGGATACAAGAGATAATTCCTCGGCGTACATTGTATTTGGTATTGCTCTATCTAGATTCTAGATTTGACATGGATTAAGGAATGGATGGACGGACGACCAACTCTTCATTTTCGCTGATAAGGGGTGGGTTACCTTAGCGAAATTTAGATATAGCATGTGTCTTGTGAGAAGAGATAGGTGTTCATTTTGTATACCTAGTCAACTTACTTGATATCCAATGATCGTTTCTGAAGTAGGCGGGGACAGGGTTTAGGTCGGAGGTGTTAAGTGTTAAGTGTCATGGTGTATTTTATTTTATTGTATTGAATTGTATGGTTACTTGAATAGTGAGTGCATGGAGAAATATGATTATGTATAGTACATGAATGAATATTGATATGGATGAAAGAATTCGGGTTTGGATGATGAAATGTGAAGTGTAAAGGATGCCACCGTGCTGCGTCTACCATTCATTACCATGTTTCCCTTTTTTCTGCATAGATGAGACAGATGAGATTCATACCTAGGTATTTACGTGTGCGGTTGTTGAGCAAGAAAGGTTTGTGCACACCAACTAAGAAATTCAATTCGTTTCCAAGATTTCCCGAAAGTCCTGGACAACTCTCGAGAATGCTCAATTGGTAGCTAGATTCCGCCCTCCAAGTCCAAGTCGATACCGTAGCATCTTCCGTATTCGACGGGGGGAAATCACAAAGCCCTGTTCTCTTTAGTACTACTAATATATCAATAAACTGAAGTTGGCATACGCATTACCCTTCTTCCATTCAAGGGTGTTAATCGGATGGCAGCATCCACAATCATTGTACTTCTCCCCATACAGGGGTCCTCCTCTGAGATGTCGAGACGTAAATCTGAAGTCAAGATGCTTTGTCCACTCGCTCGTTTGTGGATTTCGACCGGGATACAGCGATAGGGAATCAGCCTCCGACCAATCTCTCTTTTCCCAGATGCCGAAATGCGAAAGTGGAGGTATGTAGATTCATAAGTCGTGATGATTTTTGCGTTAGTGCAACCAAGTGCTGCAGTGCCGGCACATCCATACGAAAGCCGATAGAATAGGAGAAATAAGAAAGTGCGTAATAGACCAAGCGAAGTTGGCCTCCATATTAAACTCCAATCCAAACCGACGCCAACAAAGGGAATTGCGATAATCAAGAATAGCGCTACAGAATTCCTCGACCGGATTTCCGTAAGCGTACCGATTCAACCCACACAAACCCTAACATCTAATATCATACTCACACAAAGCCCACCTTTCAGGGTAATCTACACCGTCTCCTCTCCCTCGGCACTTGACATATAAATCGAAGATGTCGTATCATAAGCCATTGCAAAAGGAGGACATCCCGCAGCGACCAAAGCCGCTATCCAAGCCATGATCATTTGATCATTATCGTATCTCTGATCCGGGTTTAGAGAGAGATCCGACGGTGCTGAAGACATTGTTTCTCTCTCCAGCAATAAACAAAATATACAAATTATATCTCAGCCAGTAAATATACGAAGAAGAATATGGAAGATCGTCCAGTCGCTGATATGCAACACAGCCACCGACTACCACTTGCAACAAAAGATCATAGAAACAAGTAATTAGTCGCCGACGACTAAAAATCAGTATAAACCAATAAAATTAATAACCTTCTCGCCGATCAATACCATACATAATACATCCCAATCCATCGGAGCTCGTCTCTTTATATATAGCAAGAAAAAAAAGGGGGGCACAGCACAATCCATTCTCACGGAACACACGAAGCCTCAAGATGTGGGGATCCAAAAACAGGTGGGACAAAAAAATTCGCGACATTTCGAGAAATTTCTACCGCAGAGCGACGACGACATTGGTGCATCGCTTTTGCATGCGAGAGCAAGCCACTGTGTAACAATTCTAGGAGAGTGGAGATTGTGCATTCTTGATTGAACATATGATGTTGGAATTATCTGGAAGGCCGATTTGGGTTGTCTGCCAACTAGCGGCGCCGTCGCTTAATGAGCACTTATTGACCAATTAAAACATCAGGATTTTGAGGTTTCTTATTATTTTGATACGTTTTCTTATAATAATTATTCAACGATTACTATTTTGATAAAAATAAATAATACACCTTTCAATTCTTTATATAATATTTCATTTCTTTCTTTTTTTTTAATAAATATTAAGTTTTTGATTTAATATATTTTTATAAGTATATATTATATAAAAATCACTAGAAAATATTTTCTTTATTCTAAGATAAGATATAATAATATTTATAAAATTATTTAATTATTATTTTATAATTAAAAAACTTTATATATATAATTGATATATTTATTATTATTTTTTTATTAAATTATAATCTTTATATATAATATCGAAGTCTTTATATATAATATTGTTAATGAAATTATTGATATTCTTGCTTAATACACGGACCACTTACGGCGCCGCTAGCTGGCAGTCTAGGGGATAGTATTCGACTAGAGAGGATTATGATGAAGGAGGACTTTGTGTGTTACAACTTACGGCACGTGCTATGCCCCCACGCGATGTTGCGAACTTATTAGTCGTGGTGGTGCTTTGATATTTCGTGAGTTAGATACCTAGTAAGTACGGAGCTTATGCTCCTTGATATGAAAAATACAGTAAAAAAGATAAAGGAATCAGTTAAAGACAAAAGTGTAATAGGATAGTCCTAGGAAGTGGTGCCCACAACGATTTGATGGTGGAGGACAAGAAGTATCTAGGTGTTAAAAAAAAAGCAAAGGGAAAACAAATTATTGAACCAGTGAGAGATTTCCAGGACCTACCTCGAGCTGAAACTTCAATACAGGCCTCTATTTTGACAAACACACTCAAGTTGTATTATCATTTTCTCCAATCTTAAGGGACGGAGAGAAGTTCCCTGGAGGGAGTAATTATAGACCATATACCTATCACGTTCATACCGAATTGAAAACAACCATCTCACACATACAACAAACGCAATGAATAAATAATTTTTAATGTTTTCGTTATATGCTCGTACAAATGTACCGAAGGATGACCCTATACTATCTACAATCCTTTCCGACCAGATTCGAGTTCCTAAACCACACATTCATCAATATCAAGGTTCTATATGCCCCATGGAAATTTTGAAAAGAGAAGGGGTCACAGCCCAATCAATATACAACCCTTATCAAAATCCCACAGTCGTAGTTCCCCACCCACAAAGTGATGTTATCTATTGTACGAAAATGTGTAAAGCAATTCGAATAGGCTGGAGCCACTGAATAGTATGCTCATAAAATACTCCTCCTTCCATCTCCATTAACATTGAGAATCTTGAAAGGAAAAAGATAAAAACACAATCAAAGTCGCAATACAAGTACAATCGTTATCTTCTTTTTCCCATTCCGCGCTATGCAATACAAACGCCAAAATTATTTCCATGAACATGTTATCGTTTCCCGCTGAAAAAAGTATGATATAAAGTGATGTAAGTGACCCTTACTTGTTGTTGATCTTGTTTTCCTCCAACGACTTGGCAAATTCTTCCGCCAATTCAACATTTTTGAGTTGAAGAACCCATGTTTCCAACTTTCCATCATCACCGACTGTATTAAGCTTGACAGTCTTGCCACTGGCCTCGTATTTGAATTGCGAAAGAAGTGATCTATTGATGATGATAGATCCTGATGGGTCACTTCGCAAAACAATTCGAGTAGCCTTCGTCTCCTTGTGGCAAAGTACTTTCAATGGTCCAACACCTTTGGTATCCCATGGACTAGATTTTTCTTCACCGGCCTTTGCTGGATTGAACTTCAAAGCTCTAGTTCGAACAGAGTAGACAGCGTCTTCATGTTCTTCGCCTGGACTAGATTCCAAAAGGTTCACCTGAGCATGAACCTTTTCGGGATCGTTGTCATCAGCACCATCGGTAGTCGCACCAGGTGAATTGGCCCGAGATGCATCTGCTGAAGGGAATGAAGAAGCTGGAGCAGATGGTGGACCGCCGAACTGGAATCCTGTGGTAGTGGTAGATCCACCAAAGAGAGTAGAAGCCGAAGTTCCAGAACTACCAAACAATCCCCCCGATGGGTTAGTTGATGGCTTAGTTGGGGTAGAGGAGGATGGTGTAGCACTAGTGAAGTTGAAAACTGGCGCAGATGGTGCATCACTACCAAATTTAATTGGTGTATTTGGCTTCCAGGTTTTATCTTCGGGAGTGCTAGAAGTTGCGCCAAAAGAGTTACCGAATATATTTGTAGCTGGCTTTGGTGCCAAATCGTCTTTCTCTTCTGGAGCAGCACCAAAACTCATACGACTAGAAAGACTTCCACCAGTACCAGGGGTGGGTTTGGCTGCATCAGTCTTAGCAGCCGAGCCAAACAAATTGAACGTTGGTGGTTCAGTAGGTGCTTTTTTTGAGAAAATGTTAGAGCCGTTCTCATCAACTGGAGTACCAGGTGTACTTGTATTGGTCTTGCTTGGCTTTGGTTGGTAACTTGGATCTTTCTTTTCACCCTCTCCGTCGCTGTTAGAACCGCCATCAGAACTTCCATCGTCCTCATCATTCTGATTCTTGGATTCTGCATCAGAAAGATGCGCAAATGGGTTACCAGAAAATGAAGGGGTCTTTCCTGGAGCACTTGCAGCACCATCAAGGACGGATCCAGTGCTCGAGAACAAGTTAGGAGTTGATGCTCTCGAGGTATTTGCCGAATTGAAAATACTCTCAGCAGCGCCGGTAGCAGGTTTAGCTTGTCCGAATAATGTGGTAGAAGTAGTGGGGGCGACTGATCCGAACATGTTTGTAGCCGCTGGTTTTACAGTCTCTTTTGGCTCGGTGGCTTTTGGGGTTTCGGTCGATTTGACGAGGAAAGAAGGAGCCTTGGCCTTTGCAAGCTCTTCCAATTCTTTAAGCTCCGCAGCTCTCTTCTCCTTGTACTTAGCCTCCCACTCAGCCTCGTCGTCGTCCTCAGAATCAAAATCTTCATCCTTAGCTTTTTGCATCAAAATCTTTTCGTTATCTTCAGCATATTCAACAGCCTTTTTTCCAAATTGAGCCATAAAATTGACGGGTGCACTGCCAAAAGTTGGTGGCTTGATACCACCAGTAGGAGCGCCGGCAAAGGTAGGTGGTTTAATACCGCTAGTACCAGTAAATGTAGGTGGTTTGGTTGGGGAGGTAGTAGGCGTGGTAGATGTAGGTGCGAAGGTGAAGACTGGAGGCTTGCTTGGCGTAGTAGAGGTTGCAGCGGTATTCGACTTGATGGGAGAAGCACCTGCCAAATTTCCAAATGGATTTGTAACAGGTGCTGCTGCTGGTACTGATGCAGCTTCCTTAGTAGCTCCAGGCAATGCCCGGGTCTTTCTCTCTGGGCTGACCGATCTTGTTGATTTATCTGGGCTGTCCAAAATGTTCTTGAACATGTTAGAAGTGCTTGAACTAGAACCGTTTAAAGTTTTCTTGTTGCTGTTCTTGCCATCTTCAATACCTTCAGGATCATTTTGAGTCAAGTAAACCTCAGCTCTTCTCTTCTTGCTGCTACCAGTGTCAACTTCCTCGTTCTTCTTGCTGTTACCACTGTCAATTCCTTCGTTGTTATTCGACTGTTCAGGTCTTCTCTTCTTGTGTCCGCTACTTTCTCCACCAATTTCCGATTGAGTTTCACTTCTTCTCTTCTTACTTGGAGTTGGTTCTGGAGCTGCACTTCTCGAAGGCGATTTACTTGGACTGGATGAACGGCCAGGCTGAAGTTTTGGTGCTTTCAATACCGAATTGCCATTGATCTCAGACTCGGAATCATGTGTCGCACGTGAGCGTTGTCTTTCTGGACTACGAGTACTTCGCGATCGCTTTTCTGGGCTGGGAATACGATGTGAGCGTTCTCTATCTTGTCTAACTCGCTTTTGAGGGCTCCTGTTTTCTTGATTCTCATCATTCTCAAGATCAGCCGCTGCCCTGTCTCGCTTGTTGGAAATATGATCAATGTTATATTCTGCAAGAATCTCTCTCTTTTTGGCTTCCATCCATGCTAATCCTTTAGATGGGTCTGCCCCAGGAGGCAAATGCTGGAAGTAAGCTGCCATTGATCTTTGCACAGATGCAATGCGCCAAAGGGCCTTGAATTCTCTTCTTTGAACCGTGTTGAAGTTAACAGGCATATTGGTATCCATCTCCATGTCTGTGGGTTCAGAAACTTGGAACTCAAAATCGGACAATCTACCAGGAGCAAGTGCTCTCTTAACAGGAGCAAGCGCTTTGCTATTGGATGGTGGAGATTGCGAAGATGAGTCTGTAGGAGCAGTGAGAGCCATTGAATATGAATCGGAGCCGTTGCTCAAAGATCCGTTAGAGGGCTGAGAATCTTGTATTTTAGAAGAGAAGCCACCAAATAGGTTGCTTGTAACGGGTTGTGCTGCGTCTGTTGGGGTGTCAACTGATTTGAAAGGAGAAGAAGCTTTGTTGAAACTAGACGCCTCAGCAGTACCGCGAATCTTGAATGAAGATTCAGATTGGCTGGTGGATGGAGCAGCGGACTGTGGAATGTTAGCTTGATGTGCTTCGTCATTCGACGAATCAGGAAAGAAACTTACAGCTTGTTCTTTGGCTGCACCACCCAGTTGATGTTCTGTTGAAGAATTTGACTTGCCAAAGCTTGCGAAGAGAGCATTTGGGGTCTGGGCAGATGCCTTCTCTGGCGAACTGTTCGTTGCATTTGACTCGAACAGTTGTTGGCCGGCTGGTCTGTTCGGACTGAACAGATCAAGAGTTTGCTTGTCTTTTGGCTCTTCTGCAGATTTTGATCCAAATAGATTGTTGCTTTGGCCATTGATCTGGTTATTAGGGTTGAACAGATTTGGAGTTGATTCTGCTTGTTTGCCAAAGCCGGTGAAAGGTGTTGAAGAGGCAGGCGTTGCTGGGGGTTTGCCGAAGATATTCGACGTGCTTGAAGAAGTTGGAGTCGAATCAGTAGGCTTGAACCCACCAAACAGTGAATTACTTGAAGTTGACGCAGTTGACTCGGCAGGCTTAGGGCTACCAAACAATGAGTTGCTTGGAGCTGTTGGAGCTGACTCGGCAGGTTTGACACTACCGAAGAAGGAAGTGCTTGAAGTAGATGGCGTCGACTCTGCAGGTTTAGCACTACCGAAAAATGAGTTGCTCGAAGCAGCTGGGGTAGCCTCGGCAGGCTTAGCAGCACCAAAAAGTGGAGTGCTCGAAGCAGTCGCAGGAGGAAATGACGAGTTAACACTGCCAAACAAATTGGTAGTGGTTGGTGCTGATGTAGTGGGGAATGAGGCAGAAGTGCTTCCAAACAAATTCGTGGTACTTGGAGCAGCTGAAGTTGCAGGGAAGGATGAGGTGAAAGAGGAAGACGGAGCAGATGTGGTTGCAGTAGTGTTGCCGAACAAGTTCTGAGAGCTTGAAGGTGCAGCATTGGTAGAACTGAGACCAGTAAAACTCGTATTGGCTTGATTACCGAAGCCACCACCAAAGGAACCGCCAAATGAGTTATTTTGCGCACCAAAAGAATTGTTGGTATTGTTCTGTCCGAATGAGGTACTCGAATTTTCCTGTACAAATTGATTTTGGTTAGCACGATAGTCCGTAAGCATATGGCCATTGCCAAAGAGGGACTCCGTTGGTCTGGCTAAGAAACTTCCACGATAATTAAAGTCGGCGGACAATCCTAGTTGGCCCATTGGATGTTGAATTTGAGAAGGTTGTACCGGCGCTTGCCCAGCTTCTGGAGGATACTCGACTTTGTGGTTGCCAAACATGTTTCCGGCGTCTTCGTTTGAATGAAAGAACTGTTGGTCAAAGGTTGAATTGCCGGGTTGGTAATTAGAAAAGGCTGTTGGGGAGTTATTGGAACCAAAGAGAATTTGAGATGGATCAGAATAAACATTACTTGCTTTTTGATTTTCAAGGGTGAGAGGATTTGGTGCCTTTGAAAGTGAATTTGCACCAAAATTCAAAGAATTTTCTGCCGAACCTGAATTTGTCGCGCCAAAATTGAAGGCTGGGGTGCTATTATTCACTGCAGGTGGAGCTTGTGACGAGGAACCAAAGGCAAAAGTAGAACTACTATTGTTATCTGCCGCTTGAGATGTAGGTGTAAAATTGAAGCCACCGAAACCTGAAGTTGATGTTTGATTCTGCGAAGTTGAAGATCCAAACTGGAATCCACCTGCGTTCGACTGCGTCGCGTTTGTTGCACCGAACATATTTTGTGGTTGTGTATTATTGGAAGAACCTAAAGTATTGGATTGCTGTTGTTGATTATTATGATGGAATGGAGAGTGCGAAGCAAATAAGGCTTCCTCATTTTCACCAGCTGCTCTAAAGCCACCGCTGAATACCTTGCTTTTTCTTAGAGCTTCTTCACCTGTTGTATCTGCACGTGGGTCATCGTGGTTGGTTGATGCAGCGGATTGTGCGAACGGATTTGGCGTCGATTCTCCAAATGAAGGACTGAAAGATGGTGTTCCAGCCGGCGCTGAAAAGTTGAATGAACCGGGCGCAGCTACACTTCCACCAAACAGACCACCACCGCTTCCACCGCCAACGGCAGCATTATTATTAGGGTTGTTGTTTTGTAAGGGTGGGAAGCCGCTACTTTTTTGGCCTGCCAATCTGCCTCTAGGTTTCGCTTTGATGCTGCGTGCTGCCAGCTGAGCAGCATTTGCTTGTTGCGGTGAATTCATCGCGAAGGTAAGGCTCAGAATTTAGATGACGCGACTTGGTGATCGACAGGACCGAGGATCAATGATTACAATGATTGTCGCGTCCTCTCGGATCGAGTCGATAAATCTTGAATCGCCAGTGAAACAAGATTGTTGGAATTGTTGTCAGAATAATGCGCAAACTCGAGATGAAGAAGTTGTCATCAAATGAGTATTGAGTATTTAGGGATGTCGCATGCGAAAAATGTGGGATCGACTGCAAAGACTTGGAGTAATTTATCTAAGTATGCATTATTCTTCAAATCTAATATTGATTGAAAAATGAGACGTCGCGTTTTTATCGTGATTGTCGAAATAATTGTGAATAGAATGGGGATAGAATAGAAGAGACTCGAGTTGTAAAGAAAATGGCGACTATGTAAATAAATTGATGTCCGTACAGCGCGATGTTTAGCGGCAGAAGAGAAATTTGATTTGTTTGATTCCTGAGGCATTCAATCTGCTTACGTTTCCATACTACTGCAACAACTACAACGACCTGGAACGGTCAAATCGAATCCAATCAACGGATGAGTGCTGTACAATCCATGGATTACCTAGGTAATTGTATACAATCATTGTATCAAATTAGGTCTTTACTCCAATGACAGAAAGGTACGGTTCTACGGTTCAAGCGTACATAGCCTTGCAATATTCACTCAATATGGGTCGGTACCTATCCCACATTGCCTATCTACGTTGCTAGGCAATGAATGGTATGGCTACTACTTGTAGGTACTCTATTGTTTATTATTATTCCCATAAATTGGAGGAATGTGATGCAATAATACACATCTGCACGTGACTGAATATTGAATTTCTGCTAGTGAAAAATCCTACTTCACAATATACTTTAAAGCCACAGTATACGACATATCCGGTATACTGCGTATACATGGCCGCTGAACATGGTACATCTCTGATTGAAGAAGTATCATGGCATAGAGCCAATTCCCATTACAGCAAAGATCTGGACCACCAAATACTCGAGCAGATGTCCGGAAGACAATATGTCTGAGAACTTTACAGATCTCAGTGGTTTTCCATTAATTGTCACAACGAAGAAACCCTTTCTTGGGGGCAGATGCGAGCTCTCCTCTGACGGGAGGGATCAGGGAGCTAAGTTCCTGCGTCGAATTGGAATGAGTAACTCTTGTGTGTTGATTGCTAGTTGCAAGCACATCAGTGAGAAGACGCTATGAGCGTTGGTGGTATTGGCCAATACCAAGTTGAACTTGTTGCTGCGAAGGTTTCTAATCTCGTCCAAGATCGATTGGGTTCAAAACTCCATTCTACTTGAATCAAATTTGACTTCACAGTATCCAGGTATTGAAAGATTGGCCTATGCAGTACGGATACAATCGGACTTTCATCCACACTCTAATCCATTCATGGATGTTCTACTCCCTGTATACGGATCTAGTGTTCCGATAAATTACATAAGTTCTGTGGGCTACAACTACAGATTAAACCATATGCTCATGACTTTGCTCAAGCATGTTGGTAAGATAGTTGTTGGAGGTGGATCAAGTGCTTGATAGTACTATGGAGACATTGAGCGAAGGCTAGGAGTTCTATACTAGTGTAGAAATTAGTAGCAAGTGTTATTACTTCCAGCACCTAGCAAATGCTTCTAACAGTTGTAGATTACAACGCCTTATGTCGACTGCGCGAGCCTAACTGATGATTAATGACATCGTGGTGTCCACACGGATCATAGTCAGAACTGGCTACTTATATAGACCAATTTCTACAAATAATCTAATCCTACTACTTTTGCTCTCCAATTGCCATCTTCAAAATCTCTATTTTTTCCCACCCCATTATAATATTAAACATGCCAGGTACACCACCTTTTACTCTTTTTGGTGGCGCTTCTTTTGGAGAAGGTCTTTTTGCAACAGCAGAAGAACTTCAACAGCTACTGGCTCTTTTGGTCACCTTGAAAATTGGACACATCGATACTGCAGCCATCTACCCTCTTAGCTCGCAGGGAAAGTCGGAACAGCTTCTCAGTGAAAACCATGCCCATCTTAGCTTTGCTATCGATACTAAGATCAAGCTTGCGGATTTCTCTGGTAAGGGCTCATTGACGACATCGGCAATCAATGAAAGTGTCGCGGAAAGTTTGTCTCGTATTAAAGCAAAGGTAAAAGCCCTGTTTTTTCCGTCAATCATTCACCATAGCCCGCAATATGCTCACCCACTCAATCATATTAGATCAATGTATTGTATTGCCACATGCCCGATGCATCAACCCCGATCAGCGAAACGCTTGCTGCTCTCCATGAACTTCATCAGCAGGATAAGTTCCAGAAAGTTGGGCTACCCTAGACCACCTAGACCTCAAACAATAGCCAACACAAGATAGCTTGGAATATCCAACTTTTCTGTCGCACAACTCCAAGAGCTTCTTGAAGCATGTGAAAAAGAAGGCTACCCGAAGCCTAGTTACTACCAAGGACAATACAATGCACTTTGCCGTGAAGCAGAAACGCAACTCCTTCCGATCTTACGCCAGCAAAAGATATCATATATTGCTCATAGGTACAAGGCACTCCAGACCTCATAATATATCCGGTTAACTAACATGTCTTGAACAATATAGTCCGCTTGCAGGAGGGTTTTTGACGGGAATATTCACATTGGGCACAGACGTCACTGGAACTCGATTCGAGGACGGTAATCCAAAGGGAGATTTCTTTAAGAGAAGGTATGACAATGAACCTACACACTCGACCATGAAGGAATTTATTGCTTTGCTTCAGCCCTACGATATCACTCCCTCAGAAGCAGCCCTGAGATGGATTTACCACCATTCAGCTCTCCAGGAAGGTGACGGTGTGATACTAGGAGCTAGTAACCCAGCGCAAATCTCTCTTAACGCTGCTGATATTGCGAAGGGGCCTCTGCCTTCGAACGTAGCCGAGGCCATGGAGAAAATGTGGACGAACATTCAGGCACAGATGTAGAACTAGAGTACATGAAGTGTATTGGTAGCGATTGATGATCATTCCACATGATATCATGATTATCGTTAGTGGTTGAAAATTAGAACAGAACGAAACCAGCTTCGCATGTGTTACTATTTAGATATCACACCGCGCCGCACCGTGCTGTGCTGTGCTTTGCCGCATCGATGTGGCGCATTTACTTACAATCGGAAGTAATCCTGCGAGAGTCCCAAACAAAACTGTTCCGTTGCGCAGCACTGTATTGACCCTGGAACGAAATCCACTGATGAAAAAAAAATCACGGCACTACTACAGATGAGCCTAACAGCTCACGCGCACCCCCTCTGAATTTCGCTCAACTTGAAATACCCACATATATCAACTCACACTTACAATAAATACGGAGAAAAGAGGAAGAAAACGTTTATCAAATCGGCAGTTATTTACTTCTTCATAAATAATCAAGGTAATGTGAGCAATAATCTAGGGCATCTCCACAAGTACAGACTGAGAATGATTGCATGAGGGCCCAAATATACACACCATATTAAGACATTTTGATCTTAAATTAAATATAGTAGACATCTTTTGTCTCCTACGATTGGGGTACCAGTCGTAGCAGAATAATAGGCTCTTCCTCTATGAAGGATCACATGCCCAAGACCGGCTCTGTAAGTCTAGCTTAAATTTATAACCTTGGTTCAAGCGCTACCGTCAAACGTTCAGTAGGTACAGCCGCAACCCACTCTCTTCGATTTGGTAATTCGACATGCCGGAACACTCCAGGGCTAGACCTTTTCTCTTCATCCGAATATGATCGATGATGAGGTAAAGGATGCATGTGTACGCGAAAGTTGCGGATTATTTGGGAAATCGATAGGAACAGTTCTAGATATGCAAAGCTTTGTAACAAATTTATGTAAGTCTCCAATTCAGGCGGTATCAAACGAAGAGCGATAGACTTACTGTGCGCCCATACAAATATTTGCACCCTTGGAGAATGGTATGTAGAACTTATCCCGTAGAGGATCATCTCTAATCTTCTGCCCATCAGATGTAAGCCATCGGTACGGATCAAATTCTTTTGGCCTTGGAAATGCGACTGAGTCGTGAAGATACCAAATTGGCGATGAGCTGATTACTGTCTACAACAGAAATCTGGGTTAGCGTATGTTGAGAACTTATCAGCAAGAAAGGAAAGCAGGAGTACTTACATTTTCCGGTAAAAAGTATCCATAGAATTCTGCCCCGCCCTCGGGTACAAGACGAGGAAGCATGGCGGCAGCTGCACCGGTCCATCGAATACCTTCTTTTACGCACGCCCGCAATCTGGGTATACTCTCTAAGGTTGTCATATCCGTGGGAAAGCTCACCGCGGCAAGATCCTGGAGCAGCTCTTCTTGAAAATCAGGATTACTTCCTAAAGCCCACAAAATGTGAGCTAAAGTTGCTGAGGTTGTATCCGTACCTGGACCCAAATTTTCTGTCGCTTCCGACAAAGCTGTGGAAGAAGGTAGGTTTGAATTGACCATGGTCTGGACCAGATTTGGGAAGGGCGAAGCCGATTTTTCCTGATTTGCGTTGTCTGAAAGCGTTGTGCGCCAACTTCTCTCCGCCCACTAACAGAAGTTAGTCATTGATAGACTGAAATCTTACCCATGGAAGAATACTTACCTGATGAAAATCGTGTATTGCTTTGTTGTATGGAGTCCTGTATCCTGTTTTCGAGGAAATAATTTGTTCCACCCATTCCCACATATTGCACAACCCCGGAAAACTAGTCAACTATCCGAAAAGTTAGTATGAGAACTTGTTGGGCTGGCTTAACTCGAGCTTACCAGAGGCATCCAAGTTGCTTTTTCATCATTTTTTGCTATCATGTCAAGTTCAGCTCCTTGAGAGTATGCATCTAGAGCACCGATCGTATGACCAAATGAGAAATGGGCTAGAAAGTTTCCATCAGCATGTTTTCACCAAAAGACTTCCACAGGCAGTAATACACATAATATCCGCTTCGAGTGCGCGACATACTGGCAACAAATTCACCCTATCTCTACTTGATGCAACAGTTTGCACAAACTGATCGATATGATGCAGCATCAGTCCTTCTAATTTATACATTTGGCTGCGGTTAAACAATTGACCCATGAGTCTCCTACGTTTCGAATGTTCCACAGAGTCACTGAGAAGATTAGTTGATACCCGGTCATTGAGTTCAAAAGAACCATACATTATTGAGAATAAAGCAGGACTGCCCCCTTGTACAAACTCTCCATACACCCGCGGATCTTTCTTGAATCTGCTATTCACCTTGTGAACGGCATCATACATTTCCATGGAGTAAAATGAAACTTCATTTGGGCCGATACGAACCAGAGGACCTATGAAAATGTCATTCATATGATCTGTCCAAACTATTATGCTTCAGCATACCGAGCTTCTCATGAAGTTTAGGCAGATCCAAGGTTATGCGTCCTCTGAATTCTGTGGGGAAAGCCCATAATAGGCGAGAGTACGCTGCACCTACTCCTGCACTGGGAATAGATGATAACGGCGAGAAGTATTCGCGAACAATTCTCTAATTCGGAGTTTAGGCATTGCAAGCTATCACAGGGACGAAAATTGTGTAACTTACGATGAGACAAAGTCCGACAAGGATAAATGTCGTGCATTCAGCAAGGAGAGAGAGCGGCAGCGACATCATTGCTCGTCCCAAGTATTCTGATCTCTTTTCAAAAAGCTCAGAGGGAGCGACATCAGATGTGAAGAATCACAAATACCCATGAGATTTTGTTAAGAGGAGCCGCGTCTGCACCTAGGCGCCGCACTCCGTGCTAGTAGTGGGGATGGCATCACATTGTCGAGACCGGTAGTTGCGTGATTGATGTAGCTTCGGGAGAATTTATGCTTTCAGCTAGACTCTCAGTCCCGTCCAGTCCATATGAGCAGATAAGGAGCGCAAGTCATCAAGGATACAAGCGATTGAAATTTTATTGGTTCATCTCCTGGATAATCTAGACGTAAAGTGCAACTCATCTGACTGGACTCTCTAAAGTCACTGCGGCATATCTCGCGAGTACCATGTGCAAGGAAGTATGGGGAAGAATACTAGATCATATATCTTGAGGATCCACCATCACGATCAACACATTTTCTTCTCACATGCCGTCATATCATCCCTGCCACCAAATAAGCGATGTGTGCCGATTTCCACAGTGGTTACTTTAAAGCACGAAACGCTTCCACACTCTCAAAAAGATTGATTGATCTATCAAGAACGGGAGATGTCTCTGTCGAGTGTAGTTTATAAAATGGCGAAAGGTGGGATGTATTTATCTTAGTCAAATTGAAGTTATGAGCGAGAACCACCCATAGCACAATTACGAGGGCATAATGACGTGCTATTGAGGCTTACTAGTAATAACCGGTGAATATACGAGCTTGACTGAAAATACTCAAACCCATCAATTGCAGACTACACTCGTATCGATGATATCCCGCGGCTGTTATCCAACTATACAATAAACAGTCGCAGTCTGGTGGTCTAATTAAGACGACACATCATTGAGATACAGTCACTTTGGCGCAGTCTGAGTCACGGAATCGAGATTTCTGAGAGTTTACACGATGGGGAAACATATATCTATCGAGAAGTCTATCGACAAAGGCCTGGTGAATAATCCAGGAGAACCCAGTAGTAATACCGAAGATGCCATCGTCTTAGTAAAACGAACCTTCTCTGATCCCTATCACAAAGCTAATCACGAAACAGGAAAATCTCGGCTACAAACCTGTAGGAAAACGTGATTGGCGATGTGTCTCTACCATCAAACTAAACCAGTATTTTAGGTTCTCCATCGATCCTTCAGTTTATTCCACAACTTTTCAACCTCATTCGGTGTGTATCTCCAATCCATCCCGCCATCCAAATACTCAGACTACTCACACCTCAAAAAACCACTCTTTACTTCGTCGCGGTGTTCGTGTTACCTTTTCGACTGGTATAGCCGCGGGCGACAATCGAGCCTACTGGACAAATTTCATCACCAGCTGTGTTTCACCTTCATCACTGCGGCTGTCATCGCAGAGATATGCTCATCGTTAGCACTTACCAGATCCATTTATCTATGAGCGACCGAAGCTTGCGGCCCTCGCTTGGGTCGACTGTTTGGCTTTGTGGTCGCGTGGTGGAGCACAACTGCTTGGACAAGTTTCTGTGCGAGTAAGTGGACTAGCTAGTCGACGCTTGTACGTCCCTGCTAATCGGGTTGCGTAGGTAACGCTCAGGGTGCGGTCAACTATTTGCTCTCTGTAAGAGTAGAAAACCTCTCTGCTTCTCTACAAATCTGATCTCTTCCCAGGAAATCTTAGTATTCAACATACACTTCCCATCCGAGAGTTCCGACGTCAAGTTTCGCGCGCTGCAGTGGTTCACAACCGAGATCATGTCAGCCTTAGCTGCAACATGGAATCTCCTACCTCGTACGTAATTGTCCGATGCAACAATCAAATCACATAGTAAATTCTGAAGAAAAAAAAAAAAAAAAAAAAAAGCTCGTTACTTCAAATGGATATTTTATCTATCGACTTCATTCGTTATCCTCGGTTTCCTCTTGAATATCATTTGGCTACCTCTCGCAACGGCGCGGACAATCGGTATTAGATCTCCTCATGATGCGTTTATAACTACCTATAACGGTACAGGTGCTCCGGATGCGTGGCATTGGTGTCTTTCATGTTTAGCCACGGCAGGAATCTTGATCGGTTTTGATGCTTCGGGTCATGTAGCTGAGGAGACGAAAAATGCAGCAGTCACAGCTGCACGTGGTATATTATGGAGCACGATTATTAGTGGTATTGGTGGGTTTGCTGTTGTGATTCTTTTTCTCTTTTGCGTGGTATGTATCTCCACTATTCTTTCAGTATGACTCGAGGATTCTGATATTTCCACTGCCTGACCCCGATACATTCTTTTCCTTTGGTGGTCCACAGCCATTCGTTCCACTGTATGCTGTGATTCTCGAAGATGACGGGCACATCTTCATGAACATCATCTTTATCGTGGCCCTTTGGCTCAATACTGCCATTGCAGTGTTAGCAGCATCTCGCTTAGTATTTGCTGTTGCTCGCGATAGAGTCTTGCCTTTTTCTAGCTGGGTATCCAAAATCGTCAATGGCCAGCCCAGAAACGCAATTCTGGTGGTCTGAGGCGTATCAGCTATCATAAATTGTACCATCCTACCTTCCACTTTAGCCTTTATCTCTCTCGTTTCTGCTGCGGGAGTACCATCAACAGCTACCTACAATCTCATTTGTCTCGGTCATCTTTTCTGACCTTTCCAAAACCGGCTTGGAGTCTAGGTAGACTTAGTAAGCCGTTTCAGGCAATTGCCGTGCTTTGGAATGCATGGGTACTGGCTATTTTATACTCGCCGTATGTTTGGCCTGTAGAAGCAGATACACTCAACTATGCACCTGTGAACATGGTTGCGACAACTATCTTGGCGTTGATTTCTTGGTGGGTTACTCCGGCTGAACGATGACTCCCACGTCAGCGTATTCAAGAGACGTTAGAAGCGCGTACTGCAGGAGAAATCTTATAGTTAAGTTGATTAGAAAGATTTTTAAAACAGCCACCGGAAGCGAACTCCTTGATCTCCCAATCGATGAGCTTCAATCTTCCTCCTGTAATCCATATTTACCTAGGAGCTCAGTGAACGTTCAACTTTATCCTATTGACAATTTCGACACTTGTACATGCATAGTTGTGAAACCAGCATTTATTCCGTATGCCGAGAAGAAACAAGAGTGTTTAATACATAGCCGAAAGACGTCAAGCTTTTCACCTCGGCGAGAAATGCATACCATATCCAATACGGTGAGATACAAAAGTTTCTCGACCTTTCGAGAATCGATGCGAGTCCGAGTATCTAATCTATCTATGTACATTCTTTTTCCCGTCTTCACACCCCCTCACTGCAAATTAACAAACAGTCCCCCATCCACCAAAAGTCCACTCCCATTCACATACCCGCTCAATTCCTCGCTTGCCAAAAATACCGCCGGCCCCGCCAAATCTCCCGGAACCCCCGTTCTCCCCAACGGAATCCTTCCTTCCATATATTTCCTCTTCTCCTCATCTTTCAAATCCTCCTCATTCAACTGCGTCCTGATCGTTCCGGGTAGGAGTGCATTACATCTAATACCGTATTTACCCAGCGCACACGCCATACTTTGCATGAGTGATAGAACACCGGCTTTGGTGGGTGTATAATGGGTTTGTTGTGCGCCGCCTACGAGAGCGGAGATGGAGGAGATGGCGATGATGGAGCCGCCGGGAGGAGATTGAGAGGACATTTGACGGGCGGCGGCTTGGGAGGTGTAGAAGGCGCCGTCGAGATTGGTGCGGACGGTGTGGGAAAAGAGATCGGGTTCTAGTCTATTTGTTTTGTCAATTTCTTTTTCTTCACTTTTTCTCCTTCTCATCTCCTCCTAAATACTCCCAAACAAACAAATAAATTAATAAATCAACAAAACTCACTCCAAAAACTCTGCAAACCGACAAACTCCCGCATTACTAACAAAAACATCCAATCGTCCCCATTTCTCCACTGCCTTCTCCACCAATTCCTTCCCCGTCTCCGGTTTACTAACATCTCCTGGTACATCTAATAATTTCCCCGCCTTCGCATTTTCTCGCGCCAGAGCTTTGGCTTCCGCATGTAGCGATTCCAGATGTGGGATATCGGAGTCGAGACCGAGATGATTGACTGCTACATTACAACCTTGACGAAGATAAAGGAGAGCAATTGCGCGGCCGACTGCAGGAGAACGAATAGTGTTAGTTGAGGCGTGTAAGAGAGGGGATTTTGGGCAATTAGGGGAACGAACTTCCTGTGGTTCCACCGGTTATAGCGGCGGTTTTGCCGGCGAGAAGGTGAACGCCTTTGAGACTCATGGTTTGGATGTAGAGCTTAAAACGGTGTAGATGTGTAGAATCTATAGGTACGCGTAGGGTGAAATGAATCTTATGTTCTTCACTGAAATGGCGGGGTATCTGGGGAATAAAGTTCGTGATGAGTATACAAAATGATTGTTATTCTTTAAAGATGGTAGAGTATATCAATTGGTGTAATGTAAAGAGTAGATACAAAGTGACTTCGAAAAGTACATAGATAGGTAATATGTAAGAAGTATCAAATAATTTTAGTATCAATTGGTGTGGTATTGTAAGTGAATCAATAGCTCCAAAAATTAGGCCCTTGTCAATAGTGGAAGAACCCCGCGATTCGGTTCTCGAGTTAAAGACCACCGAAGCCGAAGTGGCATGTAAATAAAACGTGGGGCAAGTTGGCCGTCCACATGTGCTCGCTCACAAGGTATTATAATATTTATGCAAATTTGTAAACGGAACTCGAAAAAGTCTTGGATCATGATCCTACGGAAATAGATAACATTGCATTGCATTGTATAAGTAAATTAAAAGGCTAATAAAACAAATTGGCTATGATTCAAACTATGAACTTGACAAGTTCTTGATTTCTTCCACCACTCCATTCACAACCCCCTGATTGTCAGACTTCTTTTGCTCAACTGCTGGTTGACCAAGAGGTCTCTCTGGGTTTGGTGTTAAGAGGTACTGTGCGGGAATAAGTCGTGCAGCTGGGTTGAGGGTCAAACCAAAACCTGGCTTGTCGAGTTGTGAAACATCCAGGTATCCTTTCACTGGAATTGGTTCATCCAAGAATAAATCTCCAAAGACAGGTAAGACACTCTTTCCATCTGGTGAATTTGCAAGGTACTCTTGGAATGGACAATTTGTTTGAGAAACCACAAAATGGTAACTGTAAGGTCCACTTGCATGTGGTACCACCGGGATATCATAAGCGGCTGCCATTGCTGCAACTTTGAGCAATTCCGTCATTCCTCCCAGCCACATAACATCGGGTTGAATAATATCGAGGTTTCGACCTTCGATAAGTTTTCTAAATCCATATCTCGAGTACTCATGCTCACCTGTGGTGAACTTGAGTTGTGGATGAGCTTGTTTGATTTGTGCAAATCCATCAGTGTCATCTGGAGACAAACACTCTTCCCACCAATTGATATTTAAATCTTTGCAAGCTGCAGCAATTTGAATAGTGTATGGAACGTTGAGACTCATGTAACAATCGACCATAAGTGGGAAATCAGGGCCCACACTTTCTCTATGTTTTCTGAGGAATTCAACGTTCTTTTGGAGTCCCTTGTGACCCTCTTCTGGACAATATGGCAGTGGAACTTTAGCACCCCAGAACCCCATGGCCTTTGCGGCAGTAGGTTCTGGTCCTGTGCAATAAAAGTCTAGCCTCTCCCTTGTAGCTCCTCCAATCAACTTGTATACTGGCTCTCCTCTGATCTTTCCGAGTAAATCCCAGATTGCTAAATCAATCACTGAGATGACAGCAACGGGAAGACCCTTTCGACCATAAAACATTGAACCTCGATACATTTGTTCGAAGAGATGATTGGTATCTCTTGGATCGGCACCGATAAGGAATCTTTCGAAATGCTGGTGAACTAACCAACATGCTGGTGGACCTGCAAACATATGGTGAGTTTTGATCGGTGAGACAGGAGATATTAACAATTACCTCCAAATCCTGTAGCAAATCCAATTGTGCCATCTGAACCTTCTATCTCGACGCAGAATGAGCCTAGCACATTGATACCCCAACTAGTTCTTGAAGCTCTGTAGTTTTCCCATCTTGACATGGGTGTGGAAATTGGTGTATCAATCAACCTGATGTGAATTAGTACAAGTCACAAGGTGTGTATCTTGATCAAACTTACCAATGACCGCCTTTAACATTGTGATAATCACCTCCAGATCCAACACCATCCACAACAAAAGTTCGGATAGCTTTGATGGAGGGGAAACTGCGAGCTGATGAAGAAGCCATTGTGATTTGGCAGAGAGGAATAACAGTACTGACTGTAGCAGAAAGACCAACAGATGGAAGTGAAGAGAAAAGTCGGGATTTTACTATTGTCTACTTATGATTGATGGGCAGGGAGGCTACTTTGTAGATTTCATGAGAAACACCTTGGCGGGGGGGATTGTTCAATCCAAATTGAGCCGGGAGAATATCGACCGAGCTATTTTTGAAACGGAATGTAAAGACGAATTCATAATTTTTGAGCGAGCATAGATAGATCTGGGCCTATTAAAGGATTGGAAGATTCTTGGCGTATGAGACATCAATTGTTGTGGGTGATGTAGTTTCTTCCGGTCATTGTGTGTTGTAGATGTTGTAGATGTTGTAGATGAGGATGAAGGTTGCGAAGTTTGGAAGTTTTTCTTGTAGAGCTATGAGTATGGATGAATGGGGTTTGCGAGTACAAGGTGTTTTGTATTCCCAGCAAAACAAATATATTCTATGACTTCCACATACTACTTTATTACTCATATCATTTTATCTACCGGTACTTTGGTATATTTATCACAGATGTACTCTTCCATACTTGATAAGAGGCCGAGTACTTTGTACAGAGGTAGAAGTACTCGGTAGAAGTACTCTCACCAAGTTCTCTCACATGCCAATCATTGCTCATCTGTCCGCAATACAACATCTACTGTAAAAACTCAACAAACTGAGATTCTACTTAACCACATTTAGCTTAGCATATTGTTGATCTCCCTAGCTGGATTTATTGAAATCCGATATTTTTTCCACTTTTTCTAATCATTTATATATTTAAAGTATATGAATTATTTTTCGAAATTGGAAATTAAAAAAAAAATTGATTTTGATTTCTTTTTATTATTAATCATTAATAAGATCTTCAATTTGAAAGCAAAATATTGATTATTGATTCAATAATAATTTATTGAAATTCTTTAAAAAAATATTTTTTGTTTACAAATTGATTTAGTTTGTAGGGTAAGGCGTTTATACTAAGCTAAATGTGGTTAAGTAGGATCTCAGTTTATCGAGTTTTTACGGTATTGCCCATTGCCCATTGCCCATGGGTTCAAGTTACTCAGTAAGCCGCCCAAATCACCCAATGGATTGATTGATCAATGAACGAGTCAGCTGGTGACGGGTGACGGGAGGTGCATTAACCCCAAGTTACCCCACAAAACGCAGTTCCAACCCTGGGAGTGGTGGAGTCTCGGAGTCAAGCCGTTGCATTGAATCAATCAATCAATCAATCCCTTGTAATTGATGGCATTGAAGGAATTACACGATAAAGTTTGCAGTCTGCAGTCTGCAGTTTTCATGATTCTTGTGTGATGTTGAATTGATCAATCAGAGTCTCGCATAGAAACGATGGTTTCATGGTTGAGTTGAATTGCATGATTCACCGAGACGACCGAAGAGAGAACGAGGAGTGTGAGTGAGAGTGATTGTGTATGTGTGTGTGTGTGTGTGTGTGTGAGAGAGAGAGAGAGAGAGAGTATCTGATCAGTACAACATACCTAGTATCTACTAGGTATCTACGATATCTACTTCAGAGTCCGCACTTTGTGTTCAACCAACCCATTTTCAAATGCCTCTCTCTCTCTCTCTCTCCCTCTCCCTCTCCCTCTCTCTTCAAGGATTCGTGAATTCAAGGATTCCCGGGTAATGACAGTAACACGCTTCTCCATACTCATACTCCATACTCCATACACCATGAACTCTAAACCATAACCATAATCATATCCATATCCATATCCATCACCCATTAACCTCATATTCGAAGAAATACCTAGTCCTTCGTACATGGACACGTGCCCCACCATCTTCTTTTTCCCCGTCTTGTCTTTTTTCCATACCACCATACCTCCATACCTACTCCACCACTCCTACCTACCTACCACTAGGACCTTGGAAATCTTACATACTTGACTTACATTCACTTGGCTATTGCTAAAAAATAATCAAACCCCCACCTCCACCTCCTCGCTCATTTAATACCGAGCTGGTCCTTCTTCTTCGTTCCCATCTTCACCGAGATTCGAAACAGGTGGGTTATCAATATTGTCATTTTGTTATCGGAATCAAATGTCGGCTGCTATGGATATCCAACAATCACCTAGAACGTCTTTACGTTCTGGTGCAACTCAACCCGAGAGTGATGGAGACAATGACCAATATTATAGCGGGGAGGAGGATAGCATTGATGCAAATGGAGACGGTCCTCGCAAAAGGCAGCGTCGACCGATGTCAGTTTCGTAAGGAATCATGTCTCATTCTTCTCTCCCTGATGTCCCTGATGTCCCCGATGTCTCAAATGATCCGGATACCAACAATAACGACGAGGAGGAGTCCTCTGTTGCCAATTCCATTCCGGTCAAGGAATCGGAAGATCATCCCCCAATTAATGATACGGAAAATGTTGGACATGATTGGCTGACATTTCGTCGAAGGTGTGAGCTATGTAAGCAAAGAAAGGTACGTCTGTATCAGGTCATTTTTTCATTCCAAATTTCATCAAATTTCATCAAATTCATCTCTACAATCTGGTATCCATTGGTTCAACGGCATTCACAAGATTGCTGACATTACATGTGCCCGACGCTAATGTATCTTCCATGTGTCTCACTATGACTTTGATGATGCACTTCCGAAATCTTCAGATTGTTCGTTCGAAAATTGGATGGATTGTATTCTGACTTGAACAGGTCAAATGTGATCGCGGTCAACCATCATGTGGATGGTGTAGTCGCAATGGTGCTGTATGTGAATACAAAGAGCGCAAGAAACCCGGTTTAAGAGCTGGCTACGGTCGAGAACTGGAACAAAGATTGGATCGACTCGAGGAAATTCTACGCTCGCATGCTCAAATTCTAGAATCATCCTTTAATCAAAACAGCAATAGTGTTGCCAATAGCGTTCCGAGCGATCACGGTACACCACAAAGTATTCACAGCTTCAGACACAATGAGGGGCTCTCTAATCATCGTGGAGGGCATGTTGCCAGAGCAGAGACAGCCCTATTTCTTCAAAAGCCTTCTACATTTGGACAACAAAATACACCCATGGATTTTGGTAATCCAATGCCTCCAACTCCCTCGATGCCATCTATTCACGGCGATATCTTCCATCAGCACACCCCTGTATCACAAGGATCGCACCTTTCCATGGATATGCAGCAAAATCACTCAATCCCAACTAGTCAAGCACCAGATTTTTATAGTACGAATCAACCACCTCTACAATCACCTAGCTTAAACATAAACCAAAACCCAAATGAAGTCTCTTCCGATCATGCTTTACCGCCGTATGACTTACTATATGCATTGGTTGATCTCTACTTTAAGTATGTCAATACTTGGTGTCCAATATTACATCGAAGATCTACGTTGGATTCATTGTTCGGCCCATCTGCTTTAGATGAAGCAGATAAAATACTTTTACATGCCATCGTAGCCACTACCTTGAGGTTTTCCACGGATCAACGACTTACAGAAGAAAGAAGACGACACTATCATGACATATCTAAACAGAAGGTATTGCTGTATGGATTAGAGAATTCCTCGGTTAAAGCTCTACAGGCTCTGGTTATTTTGGCTTTGGATCTTGTAGGTAGTAGCAATGGACCACCAGGATGGAATCTATTGGCTCTAATTACACGTTCGGTAGTTCAATTGGGACTTGCTGTAGAGACTACTTCCTTCTCTGTCTCGCCAAACTATCCTTCGATTTATACACTTCGAGCAATGGTCTTACCAGAACCGGAGAATTGGATTGAAGAGGAATCACGGAGACGCCTTTTCTGGATGGTATACCTCTTGGATCGATATGCCACAATTGCCACAGCTTTTGAATTCGCCCTGGACGAAAAAGAAATTGACAGAACTCTACCTTGTCGAGATGATCTTTGGAATAAAAACCAGCATGTGGAGACTAGATGGTTCCGCACGAGCGAAAGGACAGAGTACGACATTGACAAACCAGAGAATCTTGGCGCATTCTCGTATTATATCGAAATCCTTGGAATTCTCTCAAGAATTCATAAATTTTTGAAGAAGCCAGTAGATATCAGTGCTTTGTCCGACGTTGAACAATGGCAAGGCGAATATCGAGAACTGGATAATATGCTCACTTCATGGAAATTCAATCTGCCTGGGGATTATGGAAACATGGCGAAGCTTTTTCAACCAGGAAGCAATAAATCCATCAATTGTGGCTGGGTTATGCTACACGCGACATATCACACAGCAGTAATACGCCTTCATTCATCGGCTGCTTATCCTACAACTCGATCACCTATTTTTACCCCATCGTATAGTGCGAGTCAACGGTGTCATGGTGCTGTTGAGAATATTGCAGCTTTAGGAGAGTACGTATATTATGTTTATTAAATCTTACCCTTGACTCCTGCCCTTGAAATTCTAATAATTGACTCAATCTTCTCGTAAATTGTGATGTTTTACAAAAGCAAATTTCGAGTAAGATTTACTAACACAGCCCTACAGATACGTGGTCCAAAATGGCATGCTCCCAAAATTAGGCCCACCATTTGCATTCACCCTCTGGGTAGCTGCCCGCTTACTCCTCGTCCATGGTTCAACCATCGAACACAAACTCAGTCCTCAGATCCAATTTTTCGTTGACACACTGCGAGACATGGGCACCTACTGGCTCGTAGCTGAACGCTACACAACTATACTTCAACGGGTACTTGACGAACATCGCGAAAGCGAAAATGCTGCTGGTACACACGGTGAACGTGTAACTCCTTCTTCAGTTAAAATACTTGCGGATATGAGGAGATGTGCATATGATTTAGATTTTCTCATCTCGAGACAACCGAAGCATGTTGGACTTTCACGAATGCCAAGTATTACTCCGGCCAGAACTCCAGCACCGAATGAGTTGGAGTACTTGGATGTTTTTGATTTCTTCAATGTACCCAGATTACCGGTTGCTCCAGGTGAAAATCAGGCGAATGGTAATGGTGGAAATGGGAATGGGAATGGGAACGGAGTGGGTGATCTACAGATGCCGGAGATGGGAAACGGAGCGAATGAATTCAATATCACGAATTTTATGGTGGATCAAAATTCGGATTGGTTCAAAACTTTGAAACATGGCATTGATGGGGATCAGAATAATAATTAAGTGAAATGGCTTTTTGGTCATAAATTTTGGGGTTTGGTTCCCCAAGGTATAATTTTTGGGTCAGATAGGAAGGAAAGAAAAGAGAAGACGATTATGGGTATTCTTGGGGTGAGCTTTCAGCCTTGTGGGAGCCCCCGAGTGATTAAATTCCTTCGGGAAGTACCCTTGAGAGGAATGATCAAATGTGGATGAATGCAACGGATACGGCACGGGAAAGGGAGTCGAAGGATTAATAGGGAAAATGGGAAAACCTACAGGAAGGAATCTGAGGCCGGGGGGAATATTTGAGGATCAAAAAGCGAGGATACCATCGATGAATAGATGGTCTCGTTATTATACCTACTACCTATGTATGTGTTGGATCTTAATTGTATTTACATAAAGTACTTGTGTTGTATCTCATCGTGTTTGATAGTTGACAATTCTGGGAACGCTGTTGAAATGTAAATAGTAAGTTGGTCTTATCAAATATCATTTTATACTCAAGGGAATAGAATACCAAGTTTTCTATTATTATCAACTTTTGAATTTTTCATATATATATACTACCTATGGATCATTATATATAGTATCAACTTAATACTAGCTACTGTTTACTATATATATAGTTGTAATACTATTAATAGAACTCTTTACTATCTATTATCTACTACTTATTATATATTGTATATTAATTATACTATATAGATACTATATATCATGGACTAGTTATATATACATACGCCTATTAATTAATTAAGAACGCATCTAGTGGAGTATGAGTCTAAGGATGAGCGGGAGTGAGCGCCACGGCGAGTGTCGGGGGGGGACGCGGGGGGCTTGGGATGGGCGGTGCTTCGGGATTGGCGGTGGGATGTTTGCGGTCGGGATTGGCGTGATTTATCTTTGGCTGTCTGGCGGGATGCGGGCTTGCTTCTTTCGTCGTCTTGTCGTCTCTTTCTTGTTTCTTTCTTTTTCTTTCTTCTTCTTCTCTTTCTTTCTTCGTGCTGTCTTTCTTCTTTCTTTCTTCTTTCTTTTCCTTCTTTCTTTTCTTCTTTCTTTATCTTCTTTCGTTCTTTTTCCTTTTTTCTTTCTTTTCTTTCTTCTGTTTCTTTCTGTTTCCTTTTTCTTTCTTTCTTTCTTCTGTTTCTTTCTTCTTCCTGTCTCTTTTTTTTTTTCTCCTTTCTCCCTTCTCTCTCCCTCCGCTCTCCTTCCCTCCTCCTTTTCTACCATCACCATCACCATCACCATTTCACTCTAGAAAACACACACCAGAAACAAAAAACAAACCAAAAAAAAAGAAAAACAAGAAAGAAGAATAACATATATGAAATTCCAAAAACCCCCGGCCTCATGAAAATATATTGCAACAAATCAAATCGAATCAAATCCCATCAAACTCCCCTTCAAAAAATCTAAGTAAATAAAAATCTTTCCTTTCTTCTCTCCCTCCCTCCTTCCCTCCTTCCCTCCTTCCTTCCGCCTTACACTGTATATAGCACACCACACCACACCACACCACACCACATCTAGCCTTAATCTCTCACCCAGAAACAGCCCCCAAGACCCATCTCGCATCTCCCATCTCGCATCTCCCAAACCCCATCTCGCATCTCCTCCTCCCTCCCCCCTCCCCCCCCAAAAACCGAAAGAAATGAAAGAAACGAAAATCGAAAGAAAAGCATCCCCCAAATCCCCCAAATCCCTCATCTCATCTCATCTCATTGATCATCAATCAATCAATCAACCACCCACCCACCCATACTTGCATAAGGTTAACCCCGTGCATACATTACAAATAAAAATCACATGAGCTAGAAAGCATGCACGCATGCATGCACCTCCACGTACCTACCTACCTACATACCTACATACACGTACATCGGTACATAGGTACATAGGTACATACATACATAGGTACATACATACATAGGTACATACATACATACAGACCGGGAATTTCAAATCCAAATCCAAATCCAAATCCAAATCCAAATCCAAATCCAAATCCAAATCCGAAAATCAAGATATATATATGACGAAATCGAGAAATCATGAAACAAAACACTGAATCGAGAAATATACCACTAGGGAGGCAGGTAGACAAGTGATTGAGAATGAGAATGAGAATGAGAATGAGAATTGAAAAATCTATCTTCATCTTGAATTTCGAATACCCTTCATCAATCAATCAATCAACTCAATTTCAATTTCAAATCATTTCTCTTTCTATTCCTATTCCTATTTCTATTATTGTTTCTTTTGCTATTGCTGTTGCTATTGCTATTGCTATTGCTATTGCTATTGCTATTGCTATTGCTATTGCTATCGCTGTTCTTCCTTCTCCTTCTCTTACTCCTCCAACCTTCTATCGATATTATAATCCACATTATCCATAATCCATGATGCATAAATCCGTAATTCTCCAAGAACTAGTAAAAACCGGTTTACTATCCCCCTCTTCCTCTTCCTCTTACTGTAACATCCCAATTTCCCTACAGCCCTCTAAAAGTTTCATACCTGCAATATCCAGTATTGAATGATCCGTCCTGGGATTGAGCTGTGAGTAGAATACATGACTTCTACACATGATCCACACGTGTTTTCTAAAACAACAACGAAAAGCGAGAAGCCAAACAAAAAGAAACCCAAGGAAAACTGTAAGAAAAACCCATTGCAAATAGATGAGCCAAGTAGGCGCAGCCTCTAAGACCAAATTCTTCTCGTCCAATCTATTGGAACAAGATTTGCTGCCTGAGCTTGGAGTCTAGCTCCCAGGTATCGAACATAAAAGAGACTCGCTGACAAATCAACCAAGTATGAATCACAGATCCAAAGACTCGGTGAATGACTCGAGAAACTTTCCCCAAAAAAGACAATCCAGCTCAATATGATAATTCCCTCCCAAACACCAGGTATATATCCCTTTTCCCAATGCATAAAATCGACGTGACAAAAGAAATAGATGATCGCAGACAACAAGAGTGCCTGGGTAGAATCGCAATGCCCAATCTCCCAAAGATCCAACGCGCCATGCCGTATTAAGCCCACTATACAATGCCAAAGACTTCAATGATTGTAGAGGTTCCCCATTTATAGTCAATGAAAACTCGTTCTCTTTGTTATATATATGTTCTTTCGTGCCTTCAATAACTTCGTGGAGAGCAAGGTATCGCGCGTATTAATTCTTCGATCGTAATTGTATATAGTTGTATAAGGTAGTGGGTATCAGAAGTAGAGATTGTCGCATGCGATTTGGGTCATGGCGCAGAGGTGGTGGTTGTTCGATTGTGGCCCATGAAAAGGAGTGAGAGTTCGGATGGTGGAGCAGAAGGAATTCTGCGGCGGAATGAGAAGAGATATTTAATCCAATGATCGAATTCGAAGCGTACAAGAGGTCGCGATTGCCATGAATAGCCAGTTATCGAAGACAATATATTTCATCTGCGGTGTTGTCTGGATGAGTGGGTATGCGAACTATGACTAGCTGTGTGATAGCCAGAGTCTGAGTAGTCTTCCCGCGCATACGGATCTTGGTAGGATTGGTGAGTTGAATGTTTATCGCAAGCATATCCAACTAACACCGTTCTCTCTTGAATTCCATGACCTTGTGTACCGTATGCGGCGCACATATCAACGCTGTGCTGGTAGTAGAGGCAGCGGCAGACTGAGTATCTTTCGACCACTAGATAACACATCTTGAATAATGATTTGAGTATAGTCCTGGTAGTTGTCGAATTCGAATAAGTTATATAGCGTAGTGGGGTCTTGGTTCCAGATGGAGGGGTAACGAAGATTGAGTATAGAGACAATAAAAAATATGAGATCAACGAGAAATGAGGCAATGAAATATATTAACGAGCAGACGGAAAGGAGATGATGCCTGGACAAAGGAAGTCTAAACTTGACAGATGATGAAGCTTGTGATGTAGGAAGGTAGGAGTCATTGATCGGAGGATCACGACTGCCTTATAGACTCTGCCACTTGAATGAGTGAGTCTTGCCGTGATGGAAAAATAAGGCAACAGTGGGTATGGGCTGGTATGAACCTGCATGTAGGGTATGCAGGTCAACAAACATGCAGGAAACCTATACATGGGATGAGATGATGAGTCGTAGGCGCAGTGGAGAGTTGGAAGCATGCCTGCCTCAGTACAGACACACTTGCAGGAATAGAAAGTCATGCCTGGTCATATCCCGAACCAAGTCCCAAATGGATGGTCTCCTACCACGAGGTGGCTTACCATCACAACGATGGAGACAAGGTATCTGGAAAGGAACCGGGCCTCTCATGGATGGGCTGAAATAGAAACCTTGAGAGCGCTGAGTAAAGCCTCAGCCTCGAGTAAGTAACAAGTACTTTGTTTCTAAGATAGTTCCGAAAAGTCGGGATTATTGATCTACGGAAGATCGATTTAGGTTAAGACGGGTGTACCGGGATATGGCAGCAGGTTGCTAAAGAAGGAATAAGATGGTGGAACGTGTATTCAAGGCTTGGCGGCGTAGGGAAAACAGAACCCACCATGTTCATTGACAGATATCCACTATGGCTTGGTCGAGAGGTCCTGTACAACGGTAAGTACCATGGAAGGCTTTTCTGAATCTTAACTGTCTAGTCAATGGATTGACCACTACGAAGTGTAATAAATGGACAGTGTGGATTAGCATTCAATGAGAGGATAGAAGTTAGCCGGAGGAAGCTAATGGTTAGTGACGGAGGTTAGTGCTCAGAATTTGTAATGTAATGGAGAAGGGGACGGAGACGGAACAATCGGGAAGGACATTCAACAACATTGAATAGTCGGTAAGCATTGCCAGGATAAATGATGTATCATGTATGCAAACGCAGGTCAGTAGGTAGGTATAGATTAGTTAGCGGTGGGCAGGTGGACGAGTGTGGAAATAGATTCATGGCCATGAAAATGCCCAGGGAGAAAATCCGAGCAGTGCAATGAGAGTAGGGAGGGAGTAAGAACTTGGAAGATGATGAGGATCTAGTTTGATGATCGCGCGTACAGGTAACAAATTGCCGCGAGTTATTGAAACCCCATGTTGATGACATGGTTACACTACTGCAAGTAAGGTACGAGCTGCCAGATTCAATTCTTGGAAAGGGATTGGTCGATCAATTATGTTGTTTGATTGATAGAAACTGTTATGCAGATGAGGAGGAGGAGTGCAGTATCGTTTCAAGGTCTGTGGTGAGGTGTGGTAAGGTGTGGTAAGGTGTGGTAAGGTGTGGTAAGGTGTGGTAAGGTGTGGTAAGGTGTGGTAAGGTGTGGTAAGGTGTGGTAAGGTGTGGTAAGGTGTGGTAAGGTGTGGTAAGGTGTGGTAAGGTGTGGTGAGGTTTGGTGAGGTGGGGTGAGGTGAAGTGATGGGAAACAAGAGCCATGGGAAAAACATCATATTGTCAGCATATCCATCCATTATCCATAGCTTAGCAAATCTAAATTCAGCTTTTTTTTCTTCCTAATTTCCCACTAAAATCACTAGCTTGGAAATTTATGACATGGCTCATGGCTCATGGCTACGTCTTTTTTACTTCGCTTAAAATATAGAGAATCTCATTGGCTAAAAAACGATCCTTACCATCCAATAAATCATCAATTAATTCTTATTATTCCCAAAGAAGGTTGAATGTCCGATACTTAACAAAATGGAATCATCTAATCGAAACCGTTGGAGAGAGACACACAGAGACTGAGAGAGAGCGAGACTGAGAGACTGAGAGACTGAAAAGTACAGTCTGTACTAGCTAGGTAGCTAATAATAATTGATCCATCAGATCCAACAATATTTCATCATTTCAACTACCGGACAAATGAGAATTAGATATCCCGATTCCCCATTCTATATAGGTATCTTGATGATAACCGGTTCAACTAGATGATCATGGGCATCTGTACGTAATCAACAAGAAAATGGCCCTTCAGGCGGCTAGATGCTCGTACAGCAAAATCTGTAGGTAGTGTCGACGGGATTGACTGTGCGATGCAGTTTGATCGCTTTCTCGTTTCCTTTTTTAAACTTTCATTCGAGTTATTCTAGTATACTCAGGTCTTATTCCTTGGTACCTAGGTAACTATCGGTTTGAGGTATTTCTATTTTGAACCTCTGTCGTATACCGAAATGATACATCCGTAAAATTGCCAATCATCTAACCACCCCCTCTCTAGTCTCTACTCTACCCATCCATCTTCTCCCACGACCCCTTTCATAATTTTATATCACCATCACTTTAAGTTATATCGCTCAAGGGTGCCTAAGGACCTAAGGACTCATATCAAGCCCCATTTTAAAACTTGCAAAATTGTTCACTCATCAAAATCGATATTAACGACAACGACCTCACATCTGACCATCAACCTTGAATTACATCGGAAGGATTCTCGTCGCAACAGGGGAAACGGGAGCAAGCTACATCACCCCTTCTGCCATATTCGGATAATGTCACTGTGCTCAGCTCGACTGGGGCTCCCTTACTCACCACATTTCAAGCCATCATTCAAGCACAATAATAAGATTATACAGCCAAAGACTCAAAGTAGATATTTCCTGTCTACTTACAGGTTGTGACATTAGGATTCTTCTGCGGCCGTCGGATTTCGGTGTAAGAGTCATCTTGGAATCTAGAATAGCTACGGTGGAGTACGAATTGAAACACAAAGCTTCTTTTTGAAACTTATCAATTGCTTAGCTCGATATTGCACTTTTGCGACTGAAACATTAATTGGCAGATTCTTGGGTGCATTTTGATACTGTAACATGGCATTCCAATCTAGGTCTTCATCAACGATACCAGACATGAAACTCTAACTCCTTCTTTCACCCGAGTCCCTCCAATCCAATTCATTCAATTCCATCAACCCAAGCATAACTTGTGGGATTCCCCATTCTCTCCATTCCTAAACCCTTTTCAAAGCTCTCTCCGAAAGCTAAAAACATCATCAACATTTCCAAAATCTGCCTCACAGCAAGAACCCCATCTCCTGCACCCACATCATTCAGCCTCGCACTAACCAACCCGAATCTCGTAAGGCGACCTATTGAAGCGGCGCCCCATTTGCATCCCCGCTGCAAACCAATGCAAGCTCGAGGCAAGCTAAGTCTAGCACTGCCTCATTGTGGCTCACCGGTGACTTACTTAGTGTTTGCTCACCTCTTTTTGACACCCTCGAGACACCCCGTCGAGCCATTCACACATTCTCACCCACATTTCAATTGTCCAAGCTTGAGAATGATGATATCGTCACCGTACAGTAAGACAAACTTGTTATGTCATCTAAATCCCCTAGGTGGATACGAGTATGGAGTACGAATATTAGGGTCATGTATGTATCACGGGGACTCCGAGATTTCGTCACGAGAGAAGAGTTGACGACAAGGTGCATTCGGAATCAATTGACATTGGACGAGATGAGAACTGCTGCCTCGATAATTTATAATTCGAATGTTAATACGGAAGATAACCTTATCGAGTATACGTAGGTATCATGTGAGCACGGAATCGGGTTGATTACCCCCAGGTACCTGCCTATCTAGATATCATATTGGACTCTAGTCTTGATGTTTTCTGTCGCTTGCCACAAGATTTCGTCAGTGGTCCACGGGTAGTTTCGATACGAATTGCTTACGACTGAACGAGTTTGTTTCATCGATGGATTGCTCAACACTCGCGCGCACAATTCCCCAAAGTTCTCTCTACTGACTCCCGTTGTCTGTACCAACGATCTCGTTCCCCAAACAGCATATCCCTATCCCTATCACTATCCCTACCTCCACATGCGAAATACGATCCACCGGCGATCCACAACATGACAGCTCAAACGAAAGAAACGGCGAGCCGGCATTCAGCCACAGTCCTCAATCAGGGATCTTTCATACCCCAGTCCATTATCCTAGAACGGAAAAGAACCGATTATTACATCGAACCGGTCTACTGGTCGTGCATCACATCACATTACATCGCATATGTGATATTCGGCCTGATATTCAAACTCATCCGAACATGTTACCACACTTCCAAATCCATCAGAAGCTAGACGCCAGATGTTGCGAGCCTAGAACACATCAGACATGTCAAAGTCCGAATTTGATTCTGAGGACAAGCCCGATACATTGCACCAAGCGTTACATACGCGCATTAAATCAAGGCATATGTGCATATTGGTCGTCTCCTGTATTCGGATTCGGATGCCCAGCTATTCAGCTTTCTCAACTCTATTCTCGAGCTGAGATGCAAGACTGATATATCAGTCATTCATTTGGTTCCACATTCATCCGATATCCATGCATTGTTTACGAACACCTTGTCGATAACAACTTGCTAGTTCCTAGTTTCTTTGTACGTTAGTTCGTTACTTGTAGCTAATTTTGTACTGTATCTCCGGATACTCCCTATAGAGAGTATAACTGATGCCAACGGTCCGAGGTGTTCCCATATCGGCAGTTGTAATTGCTCTTTCCAATGGCTCGTATCCTTATGAGTCAGGTGACAGCTAGCTGTAGTCTTCAGTTCTGCGATACAAATTCCTATGCTACATCATAAACATACACACACAAGTGCGGACAATGTCTTCAAGACTTTGCTTTTACTCTTTCGAGAATTCCATTCCAATACATTCCATTTCCGTCTTTCTTGTGCTATGGCAATACCTGTCTTGCTTCTACTTATCAGCCCCAAGATCAACGTATCAGAACAACATGGATGCCATGCTTAAAGGAGTGCAATTTTACATAACTTAACTCTGTCCTCGTGTAGCTGAGATCAGATATCCAAGTGAAGAGTCTGGACAAAGCAGTTACGTAACATCTTTTCAAGATGTTTCATCAACGAAAATCTTCAATTGAAAAGGGGAAGCAAGCGTATTTAATCCAAAACCTCCAAGAATTTTTATCACATTTTTATACATCGCAAGTCTTGACAACTGAAAAAGGTTTTCTACCACTAGATTCTCAAAGTTAATGAATAAGATGGCTAAGATTGAGATATGTCATACTCCCTTTCGTACCTGACTTTAGGAATCCCCTTGATTCGAGCATGGGAGATCGAGAATGAAGAGATATACTCCCATACCAGTCCTTCGAGTAGCTATTTTGTCAATTGAATGGCTAGTAAATCAATAACAAGCGTCGGATTCAGAGATATATGTATATTAACATGATAAATACTGAAGGAGACGAAACGAGAGCATAAATGTATCTTGGCTGGATCATCTTTATCAGTACCTCTAGTTCTGCTTACGATTGTGAAGATATCGGAGGGAGCCGCGGTAAAGTTCAGTATGAACAGATATTCGGCGTAGCAAACTCGATACGGAGTTCCATTATTTAGACGTAAGTAAGTCATCCTGAAATATTGAAATCAATTCACACATTTCAAAAACGCTTCAGATATTCCAATCATGTTCAGTGACAACGAATCTCTCATTTTCAGACTGCCGTTCAATCTATCAGAACCCCGATTGTATCAATCAAGAAGTATCCCATTACATTATGACCCAATTCACAAAACCATAAGATAAAAGCCTATTAATGCCATTTACTTTCAATCCTAATCACAATCATTGTATAACACAAGCACGCCATTATATCTACACGCCTACCTAGATAGAACAAAACCAAGCAACCAAAAACTTAGAAGTGAGAACCACAGTCAAATCAAGAGATCATTCGCTAGACACCTAGCTATCTTTCAAACAACAAATTCTACTGTGTGCGCTTCACATGTTACTTACTACCACATATTTCTCAATGGGAAGACGAAGGTAATGAATTGACTGTGCGATTATGAGATTCCGAGATTTTAAGCACAAAGAAAAGAAAAGAAAAGATATGTAGGAAAGATATTGGGAGGGGGAAGGGTCTTCAAAATCGTCATGTAATCTTACCTAGGTAGGTAGATAGGTATGGAAAGCTATACACAAATACGTATCCGTCCATTCCAGATCCAAACCCTCGAATCACCAATCGTTCCAGAAATCAAATTCCATGCAGGTGGGACTTTGAAAGTGGCTCGCCAGATTCGACTTGGGTAACTAGATAAAGAATAAGATTGGCTAGGGATCGATGCCTGGAATGTTGATAATGATGTTCAGGAGCATATTATATCATATCATATCATATCGTATCACCGTCCCCACCCCGTTCGAGAAACCTCCTCGAGGAAATCTACAAACCGAAGCGAAGCGAAGCGGATGAAGATAGGCTGAGCTAAGCTAAGCTACGAACGATTACATTACAAGTCCGTGGATTGTGTACAATGAGATGAGATGAGATGAGATGAGATGGATCTATGTTTTGCTTTTCGGGCGCTTGCTTGTTGGGCTGCCTGCTTGAATGGAGGGGTGGGGTTGGAGAGAGGAGGTGATTGTAAAATGGAAAGAGGTGTTGATAACTTGGGATATTTAAGTTGTGGGGATATCGGGTTTTCAGTAAGAAAGCAGAGTATGCATATAAATCCTGTATTAATGTGTCCCGAAAGTAATGGACTTGTAATGCGATAGTAAGTCGGTGCTGATAGGTAGCGTGATCTAAACTAGCAAGCTGTTGGAGCCTTACTTTGATTTTAATTGTTTCGCAAATTTCTGCCCCCGTCAACATAGCAATCTGTGAGATTACCCTACCCAGTTCGAGTTTAACCACTCTTCAAAAGGCTATCATTCGGTCTCTATAGTTTGGCGTGGTTATGCGTTCAGTAAAATTGAATTTGACTTCCACACCCTTCCCACGAGCATATTCAATAGCGTCCGGACTGATTTTATGGCAATCCTTTACGTCGAGGAATTTAACCCCTTGGTTAACAAAATGCTTCACCGCAACACCTGTGATCTTTGTACCACAGATAATTAGCTTTTCCAGATTTGGACATTTTTCGACCATACGGATGAAGTCTCTTTCTTCATACTGTAAATAGCTAACACACAATACCATGACATTTTCGCATACAGGAAAATTTTGGTGTGCGACAGTGTAATCTCCGACCAGGCGACTTCCAATGTTTAGATGCGTAAGATTGTGGGCGTTTTTGAGAACAGAAACAATCCATTCATCGCTGAGTCCAGTATCCTGGCACGTGAGAGTTTCCAATAAGGGAAAAAGAACATTACCGCTTTTTTGGTTTGTCAATCGCAGGTTGTCATGAAGATGAAGGGTTTTGAGCGTTGAAGGAAGCAATGGAACCGTTCTCAAACCACACGATATGAGTTCAATAACTTCCAGACTCTTAAGGGGCCCACCCAAGTCCAATGGAGAGAGATTTTGTAAGTCAAAATTTGACAATGATAACGTTTGAATGTTGGGAATTGATTCGATTAGGTTGCCCTGTAAGGAGTATTAGAATCATTGCATGAAAGAAATTGTTTTGGTATCATTACCAATAGCATGCTACTACCATGGGATCCATTGCACACTTTCAAGTCGCGCAAATTTTCTAACCTTGGCCAAATGCAACCAGCATCTCGGGAAGTATGATGAACTTCCATAAACTCTGCCTGAACAATTGTTGCTTGAACGTGCCGTAATGATTCGAGGACGGACTGAAAAGAGATTCGAAACATCTGCACATTCAAATATTGCAATGACTTTGCAAAGGGAAGTGCCGAAGTTAAGGTCTCTCCAATCACAGCAATATTTTTGTTGTATATTGTAAGGCGTTGCAACTTTATACATGTCCTGGTGAGATACTGCAATTTTGCGGCATCGATAGTATCGTACCTAAGGACAGCTTCATCGACAGTGTAATTTGATCTCCTAAGGTATGCCTTCAAAGATTTTTGAGAGAGGCCTCTTCTAGTAATGCTAGTGTCGAAGGTAGTCCATAGCTTATGAGAAGATTCCAATACTCGCTTCCATGACTTGCTCACGCTCAAACAAATCCTTCTTGTGGTTAGCAAGTATAAATTAAGAAGGTCTTCCTTACATACATTCGTTCTCGTATGCTAAGCTGCTGAGCTATCATTTCTGCCAGTTCAAAGGGTAGGTACGAGAGCGGATCTAGAGTTTTACTAGGCGCTAGTGACTTTTGTAATTTATTGAACATTGATTGCAGGGTCTTGAGTCAATGTTAACATACTAACAAAATTCCATAAATAATGGTAGAACTTACCAAACGATCTTTGTCAGTATCAATTTTGACCTTTCTGAGACCACGCTCGTAGATTTTCAAGGCTAGTTGATGCTCCCCTTTAAGCTGTAAAGCTTTCCCACATCGAAGATATCCCTAGAGATTCAATCAGGACTTTTGGAGCAGCAATTTTCAAGGTAAAGAAAAGTTACTTTAGATAGTTCTGGTTTCAGTTCAAGCATTTCTTTCGCATCTTTAAGAGCTGGTTGCAATAAATCCAACTTCTCATACGTAGCAGCGCGATGATCTAAAGCAGTGAGCAATAGATAATCAGTACTAATTTTCACAGCCTATATCATGATATAAAGTCAGTGATCGATACTGATACTGAGCTAGATGACTGGCACGTGCCAACGAGACATACCTCTGTGAATGCAGTTAATGCGCCTTGATAGTTCTTCTTCTGGTAACGATGTCGACCTTTCTCAAGAGGTCCCATCCCTTCCTCTTCATCATAAGCAGGAGGCATGTTGCCTATCTAGTTGGACTTGTAGATGGGAAATTATGTAGTTGTCGATAGAAAGTGTTAATAGATGGTCGCGCTTTGAGCTTTGATGGACGGATGCGAATTGATATCAATTTGTGGATTTGTGAAGAGCCAACGATGATTGGATGATATCACGGGTATTCTTCGGCACGGGCGATTAGATAAATCACCCGGATGCCGAGGTCTGTGATAGAGTTCAGTGAACCAATATGTAGGTATATCATCAAAACATCTCCCTTTCCAATGTCGCAAGAAGATTATCCTATAGAATTTGTTTTAGAGAGTATCGAGACCATAATGACTTCAGAAAACCAACCAAAAGTGATTTTGTTTGACATTGGGGGAGTCTGCGTTAGTAATCATTCCTTTATGTTTCATCGCGGTACCGCACCTGAACTTTTGGAGTGTTAACTCGAAATTACGAGACGGGTGTTCGCAAGAGGATTTCAATATCTATTGGGATGACAGTATCTCTCTGAAAAGGAGCTGACGAGAAGTTTCTCTGGTATCCCCAAAAGTCTGATATACTTACTACAAAGAAGCCTATGTACGCTATGAGAGGGTATCTTGGGTAGGATAGCGACGCGTCTCTAGTCGAGGCTCACTGTCTTCAACCATACGCCATTTTTCTACTTATTCTGATTCGCTCTGATCTCATACAATATCTAACTCCTCGCAGGTTCTCTCCCCCATGCAAGCAATTCTCGATTTCGAGATATCCAACAATATACCTCCAGGCTGGGTGAACTATGCCCTTTCCAAAAACAAACCAAACGGATTCTGGTGAGCACAAGTTCTACAGATCATTCTTCGATCTCTCTATCTAAGTCATTCAAAGCTGTTCGGTAGACTCTATCCCTACCATAATATTCTTCAAATCCACCACATCTGCTCATCTCACTCACTAACACTCATCCAGGCACCGTCTAGAACGCGGCGAACTAGAACTAAATTCCACCTTCTTCACCGGATTCACATCCGACCTCCACAACCCTTCTTTCTGGACTAGCTTCTACAACTCCGTACGAGAAAAGCATTCTCTCCCATCCACTGTTCCACCCATGCCTCAAATTGACGGTGAAGCACTCTTCTGGTCTATGATGGATAACTCACGCGACTTTGATCCTTGGTATTTCCCCCTTTCCCAATCCCTAATTGTCAAAATCGCAATACTAATACATAACCTAAGGATGTATCCCTGTCTTCAAAAACTCAAAGCCTCCAAAAAATACACCCTGGGCGCTCTCTCCAACACCGTCATCTTCCCTCCTTCACATCCATATTCCAAATCTCATTTCTTCATCCCCGATATCTTCGATGTATTTATATCCTCAGCACACGTGCATATGCGCAAACCATCCCCAGAAATATACGCCCTGACACTCCATACTTTGCGTGAGCACTACTCTTCTAAATTTCCCAATGCTCCTCCCCTCTCCCCTTCAGATATACTCTTCCTGGACGATATAGGCGAGAACCTCAAAGCTGCCAAGACAGCCGGATTTTGCACTTTGAAAGTAAACTTAGGTCGTGCGTATGAGGCGGTAGAGGAATTAGAGAAGATCACCGGGCTGGAGTTGAGTGGGGATCATCCGAAAGTACCAATTGGATTGGCGGTTAAGGGGAAGGCAAGAGATGTCAAATTGTAAAGATTCTGGATCAGGAAGGAGATAGAGACAAATATGGTTAAGAAGATGTAATAGATTCAGAGATAGATGGATATATGCATCTTCAAAATGCTAGGAAGTAAAGCAAATAAACAAATAATCAGTGTAAACCGGGTATTCAAAGCGCCACCAATGCACGCATACGTACAGATAAAACATCAAAAATTGGTATTATAAAACAGAATACCAGCAAGATATCTCTATACAGTGAACCCACTCATAACTTCATAAATTGGGAATAACAAAAGCTCGAATCCTTAACGCCCCACCGTGCATCTTCAAGCACATCATTCCTCCTTTCTCGGCGATCCTATTCCACCTGAAATTAAACTCTCCAGTTCCCAAGGGCTCAAAGTACTTCTTCTTCTTGCCGCTCTTCCATGCTCTCTATCCCTACTTGCCCTTACTTTTCTTTTCCTACCAGACACAGCACTCAAGTCTTTTTCCGGGCTTTTCGTAGCTGTATTACTGCCGCCGCCATTTTTGATCGGCCCCTCTTTAATAGGCGAAGATGGCGGAGGCATGATTTTTGAACCCTCCGGTTCTATTTTCTTTGTTGGACTTCTAGATCGTGGGGCAATTTTACCAGTAGTAGTAGTAGCAGCAGCATTACGTGCCAATTTTGCAGCTTTCAACTTAGCTTTGACTCTTGCGGCGTCTGCTTCACGTTCAGATGCGGCTAGTTTGGCGGCTATACTAGCCATGGTAAGAGGGCTTTGTTGAGGTGGTATATGGGGTGGCCGAGGTAAGCGACTTGCAGATGTAATGGGTTGTAGTTGAACTTTTGGGGTGGGTTTTGGTTTTGGCGTTGAATAAGCAGGCTTTTTAGCTGAAGCTGCTCTTGCAGCCGAGGCTCTAGTCTCTCGCACAACCGATGATCTAGTGGAAGATCTGGTTGAGGAGTGGGCGGAGAGCGTTGGAATTGGAGTTTTGGGGATAGAATTCTCGTCGGTGCGTGGAACGGAGAGCTGTGCTGTTGTAACTTCCTCTTTCTTGTCTTTTCTGGGAAGATGCTTAGGCGTTGGGGTCGCCATAGATTTTGAACGAGATGAAGACTGCTCGAGTTGTAAAAGATCCCAAGTATTCTCTTCGATAATAGTGGTAAATCCCTTGGGGCTTGGTCTTTCGGGGCTACCTCGGTTACCATTGGTAGTTTCGCGCAGGGGAGACATCTGAGGTGGTGTCCCGGGTAGGGACGATACCGTATTGAATGTGACATCTGCTGGTTGTTGTTGTTGTTGGTCTTCGGTAACCTCATCATAATCTTCCTCTTCCTCTTCCTCTTCCTCTTCTTCTTCCACTTCTTCTTCCACTTCTTCTTCTCCCTCGGCTTCAATTTCCTCTTCCCTTGTTTCCTCGGGTTCTTCTTCAAAAATGCTAGATTCAGCGTCACTCAATTCTTCCTCATCAAATTCGGGTTGCGCATGACCATCGATGCCCGAATCATCCAAGGCATCAATATCTGCTTGTGTATCGCCTTCATCCTCATATTCATCCTCATCCTCTTCCTGCACCATCGATAATTGAAGGACCTCGTAATTGGGATCTGCTGTAGGTTTGAAAGGACTCAAGCTTAATCCCATCTTCAATTCTTCAATATTGACAGTTTGTCCACTCCTAGCCATTCGATGACGCCATCCATCCATCATATGGACAGCATCCTTCCATCTGGACTCCATCTTTTCCCACCCTTCTCGTAACCTTATGATCTCTTCCTCTCTAATTTCCACTTCTTCTAGTGAAACGAATGATGGGTTGGTCAGGATTGTCCGTAGATGTTCAATTACAAATTCCATTTCGGAAGCAAGATGTTCGTAGGAACCCTCCATTTGTACGACCATTCCCCCTTCTTGTTCCTCCTCTTTCTCACAACCAGAAACCGTCCTTAATGTCTCGATAGTCCTTCTCACCAACCCTCCTAAAGATTCGTTCTCATCACTCAGGCCCCTGGCCAATTCTGTCAAAAACTCGTTCGTCTCCATTCTTAGATCATACCCCTCATCCTCCGTGCCCATTCCTGCCCCACTCCCATTATCACTCCCAACTCCTGCGACTACGTTAATAGTTGCAACACCCACGGCTTTCCCACTGCCTCTTGCTCTTCCACCTTCACCGACATGTCTTTTCATTCCCTCAATAATTCTTTCCTTTTTTCTGACCTCGTTCGCACACTGTGCCCTTGTCTGCCCCACCAAGACCTTCATCCTCGCCATATCCTCCTTCAACCCCTTAACTGCCTGCTCCGCGCTCCTCAATTGTGTTTTCAAAGCTCGTTCTGCCGCATCCGCTATCCCAACTTTCCGTTGCAATTCTGTGTTTTTTGTCGCGAGTCTCTCCATATCAGTTGTTGACCGTAAAGCATCAGCGCGCAAAGCTCGAATTGTTTGTGAGAGGTTTTCTCGTTGTTGAGAATCGCGCTATTAATTTTTCGTCAATTTGACTCTTCTCTTCAATAACTCGATATTAAAATGCGCTTGCGATAGGTACTTACATCTCTCCTCAAAATCAGATCATTCACCACACTCATTATCTTCCCCATGGTGACATCTAGTCCCTCTTCTGATTTATGCGGGCGCGCAAAGTCAATTGTTTGTCCATTTCGTAGAAGCCCGCGAGAAAGTAGCTGGTTGTTTATGTATAGGGACGCAGTGCGCAGATTATCTGCATCCATGTTTGCTGGCTCGAATTACAATTATCAGGTATGAGCCTTGAGAAATAGTGGAAGATATATTCGATGTATTCATGGGCCAACTAATGTCGAGATAAGTGGTTTTTAACTTTTTTACTGGTCTTCGTCGCATGAACCTTCTGTGTTGTCATGTAAACAAACAAATCGAGATTGCAGGGGTACACCGAGCATGGTTCTCGTCTCTCTCGTGATCACGTGTGCGTGTTTTGCGAAGACAATATCTCATTGTCACCACGTCTGATTTCATTGCATTACATTCTAACATTGGAGATACCAAACCTTATTTCATCATTGTTTCAAACAATAGACATAGGATTCCATCATCGTATCGCATATACTAATCAAAAATTGAGGTTTTTCTTTTGGATTTTAGGGGGGGAGCACATCTCATTGTGATCCACTAATGACTTCCTCCGTACTTTGGACAAGCTTTCTTAGATACTGTTGTGTCTAGAATGTTTGCAAGTCGAATTCTGAGAGGACGACTTGGAATCCATGACAATTGCAACGAAGATAATAGTCACTTCTTGCGACTGCGAGTGAGTATTCTGTACTCAACATAATGTTTGCCGAAGTGGGGTTACGAGCATCTCTGTAAACATCATTGGTATGCTCAACAACGGCAGGAGGTTGTGGCAAAATGGAAATTAGGTTAGAATCAAAGTTCTGTTATCGCTCATGGAGGTATTGGGTTCTTCCTTGATTGTTTGCTCCCGGAGTGCGTTCGTATTTAGGTAGAGGTAGTAACTTTGGGAGGACTCTAGGAGTGAAGTGTCTTCTAAAGTTCTGAAGGGAGATTTGATCGGCTCTTTCCATGAGAGGAACCTAGTCTTATACCCAAAGTCCTCATCTCTAAATCTATTCTTTTCCCTTCGCTTCTCAATGCGCAAACGATTCATACCAGCCCTCTCTAAAGACTTGGCCTTGTTTTTGCACCACGATTTCTCTTCCCCTTAGGACTAACTCAAAAGTTAGAACGAACGGAAAGTCAATAGAGATTGGACGTATTCACATACCCATGATTAGCAACTGCTTGTCCAGTCCAATATAAAACGCACGAGAAATACTCTTTGCTGGTGAAAGGTTAATGAAAGTGAATTGACTGTCTTTTTGCTGTGATAAGACGGAATCCAAAGTAACGATGGGGGAAAGAGTAAGTTACTCTTATCTTTTTTGAATCCATTTGCTTTGTAAGATTAACAATCGATCAAACAAGTAGATGAAAGGATCGCTCATACTTATTAATGGTCATCCCTTTGATATAATACACATAGTCTCCCAAGAGGAAGTTGGGGACAAGAACGAGAGGAAGTGGAGAAGCGAATGATGGAGGTAATTGAGTTTCAATAGAACCCAAAACTGCATTCGAGAAGAAGGGTCTCGAGTTAAAAATCGATACCAACAGCACAGTTTGCGAGCCCATGCAGAATTCGGTATTAATATAAAGATATTGGAAAGCTAAGTATGCGGTTTCTGAAACTCTTCACAACCAGACATGCGGCAATCATTTTTGCTCTAATCAGTGAGCTGTGATAACAAATCCTGTGTGTCATATAATGTCGTATACGTAGAGCCCATGGAAAACAACTTCAACAACGATGGTTTCAATGTCTGCACTCTGTGATGTCTTCATGCATTCTCTTCGATGATATACCAATGCTCAAAAACCCTGAGAGCTGCATTGACGATGGCGATATTGAATTGGGCTAGTAATCACAGGTTCACACATTGGCTTTTTGACAACAATATACGAAGTAGTACCACAAAATGAGTGAATGAAATGATTCAATTTCGTAATCACATATTGTCCCAAGAGGTAAAGGATTTGGCTAACACATCACATCCCCGGAAAGATAATGCGGAGGGCGTCAAGGCAGTCACGTGATAGGCTTCGTCCCCCACCATCCGCACACTTAAGCGAACCCACTAATTTCGAAATTCAAGAATTGAGGATGTTTCGAAATTTTCTCTTTTGATTTTTTCCACCTCCAACGACAATTCATAATCCAGTAGTGCGGTCAATCGAACAAGATGGTGAGTTGAAATCGAAATACTTCGATTGCAGTATATCTGCAATCATGGCATTTAACGCCCCAAGATCCTTGAATCCTTGAAAAGTCAAATAGCAAAATGCTTCGAGAAATTGAAGGTTGCTGACTTTTGGAATTTTTACAGCCTTTCACCAAGCTGGTCAAGAACTCCGCGTACTATAGGTAAGCTCAATTCTCCTTTTTCACAAATTTAATTTTCGCATTCTAACAATCAATCAGTCGCTACCAGACTAAGTACAAGCGCCGTCGTTCCGGAAAGACCGATTACTACGCCAGAAAGCGTCTTATCACCCAAGCCAAGAACAAGTACAATGCGCCAAAATACCGTCTCGTTGTCCGATTCACCAACCGTGATATCGTCATGCAAATCGTTACCTCCGAAATCACTGGTGACAAGGTTTTCTGCGCCGCATACTCCCACGAGCTCAAGGCCTATGGCATTGAGCACGGTCTTACCAACTGGGCCGCCGCATACTGCACTGGTCTCCTCATCGCCCGTCGTGTCTTGAAGAAGCTCGGTATGGATGAGGATTTCACCGGTGTTGAGGAGGCTGATGGAGAGTACCAACTCACCGAGGCTGCTGGCGATGCGCAGAGACGTCCATTCAAGGCTTTCCTTGATGTTGGTCTTCACCGCACTTCCACTGGTGCCCGTATCTTCGGTGCCATGAAGGGTGCTTCCGATGGTGGTATCCTCGTTCCTCACTCCGAGAACCGTTTCCCAGGTTACGATATCGAAAGCAAGGAGCTCGATGCCGAGACTCTCCGCAAATACATCTACGGTGGACACGTTGCTGAGTACATGGAGACCCTCGCCGATGACGATGAGGAGCGTTACAAGTCCCAATTCCAAGGTTACATTGATGATGAAATAGAGGCCGATGGATTGGAGGAGTTGTACCAAGAGGCCCACAAGGCTATCCGTGAGGACCCATTCAAGAAGGTTGAGGGAGGAGAGAAAAAGTCCAAGGACGAGTACAAACAGGAGTCTTTGAAGTTCAAGGGACGCAAGATGACCAAGGACGAGAAGCGCGAGAGAGTCAAGGCCAAGATTGCCGAATTGAAGTAAATTTTCAAATTAAATTTTCGGATATGGGTTTTCTAGCTAGGCGATAAAAATGATACTCCCTTGATACTCTAGAACTTACTTATCTTGATGAATGATGAACCAATGTATTTTTAGTACTCCATATACAATAGTTGACGGAAAAGTCTTAACTTTGCGTTGTCACTTGTTACCTTGTCTGTTTACGGAGTATATCTTCTCGCCTCTCTGATTGAATCACACCTTAGTTAAAGTGCTTACTCGGAACTTTCCAGAACTCCTTTCAGCACAATGCCGGGAACCTTATCCAAGATATCAAAATGAGGATATTCATCCCCCTCTCATCATTATGACCTCCCCCCTCCATAGCACACCATTTTATTTTGAAACCTCATCGCAAGAATGATTTTTCTTTTCCCATAACTTGTTTTATATTCTCTTTCGCATCATTGCTCATTGTTCAGTGCTCGGGAGATTGTGGATTGTGATTGATCGTACCACAGATTGATCGAATCATATCGAATCTCCGAGGCTGGGTACCGAACTTAAAATCCACTTGCACCAACCCCGACGAGGACCCCCAAGCAACACATGACGATATTCTCCACCGCTCCACTCCATTGCTTCATTGTGTGAGTGGGTGTCTGATCACTATCGCAAATCGCCAACGCAATTTATAGTTATAGTCTACTTGGTGGTTTGTGGCATTTGATTCTGATATACCCATACTATTCAACACATTAATTCATTCACCGTTCCGTCACAATTATTTGTGGCACACACACGATCATGGATTTGTACCAATAGAAACTGCTCACATCAGCAACGAGACATATTACGAGACATCAACAAGCGATAACAAATCTTGATTGCGATAATTGCGAAGACTTTTGAAGGAACATCTCTTCGACATCAATTAGGATAAATTTTCTGACAATTCGCAAACCGGAGAACATACCTTGACGATTTATTTGCATGATGGAGCAAATGACTGGCGTGGATGTGAGTTGGATGACACACAGCTCAAGCAACAAAGGTTGGTTCAAGCATTACTTCAAATGGGAAATTGAGATGTATTGGAACATTTGCCAGCTAGATGTGTGCGACTAACATGAGTTACTTATCACAGACCCAAAACGACCTCGTATGGTTCCGAATGCGTCTGGCTCACAAGGAAAATCAAGTCCGCCCCCACAGAATGGCTCTACCCCTCCAAAGAATGAAAACGAGCCCGAAGTTGTAACGACTCCACAGCCGATTCCAAATCGACCTGGCGTGGCTAGAAATACCTCCTCGGAAAGGATCGTGACGACAAATGGCACACCACCTAAAGCATCTACATCACCTAACATGTCCCGCAGAAACTCGTGGTTATCGAGCATATCCTCAAAGTTCTCGGGTTCACCTTCTTCCAGCCATACGAGCGTATCCCCCAGTACTTCACCGGCAGCTTCTCCTGTAGAACCTCCGGTACAGAGGCCTGCAGGACCAAGTGCGCCCAAAAACGCGGTGCTAGTACATGGTGTGAAGGATGATGGCGATGCACCTTACGTTCCAGCGCCTCCGCGGAGTGGACCCAGCTTCTTACAGAGTGCCTTGCGGAGGCTGTCATCTTCGGGTGGGCAATTGTCTGGATCAGCCAGAGGCCACCATGGATTGTGCGAAAGAAAGGTTCTGAACGTCGATCATCACCGGGAAAGATGCCCCGTATCTGGGCTCGAACAGTCAAAACTAAGAAGGGTAGCTTTCTGTGTAGATGTTGAGATAGCCAGCGGTCCCCGTTATATGGACGAGGAAGAGTCCGATGAAATCGATAATAAAAATAAAGAAAAGATGAAGCGATCCAAAGAAAAGGGAGAAGGCGCTGCGTTGAAGAATCCAAACAACTCTATGTCCGAGATGGAACAAGACGATACTTCGAAAACAAATGTTAGCAAACCTGATGAAAAACTCGCCGAAAGTGCTCAGCCAAAGGCCTCAGAAAATACACCAGAGGCTGCAGGATCCTCTCCACCGATTGAAAAAGACAATACCAAAAAGAAAGAGAAGAAGAAGCGTAGCGAAGAAGAGCGTAAAGCGAGAAAAGAGAAGAAACGAAGGCTTGCTGAGGCAAATGGTACAATCCCAGTTGAGTTGAAGATTGATGAGAGTGATAGTTCACTCTCACCCACCTCCAATACCGCCACTCCAAAAACCCACGCTTCGCCTACCACGGACCCTGTTCGAATCTATAGAAGATGCTGTCAATTAAGAGAAACGCCAATATTAAAGAGAATTGTTGAGCAGCTCACAGCCTCAGTAGCGACGGCTGCAATACCTGGTCTTGTTGCCAAATTGGATCTCTCGGGTTATTGGCTACAATTACCAGACCTTGTCACCTTGGGAGACTACTTAGCTGTGGTTCCCGTGAAAGAACTGATAATGGAAAATTGTGGACTTACTGACGAAGGTGTTCGTGTCATTTTGGCTGGTCTTTTGGCCGCCAAGTTACCAACATACGGTAGAAAATCTCACACTCGTAAAGAGGGCCAATATCCTCAGGGTGGTATAATCGAATCGCTAGTATTTAAAAACAATAACAAGATTGGTAAAGATGGTTGGCGGCATATCGCTCTGTTTATTAATATGTGCCGGTCACTGAAAGTTCTGGATTTGTCAAGGATTCCTTTCCCCCAGGATACTACTACACCTACACCAACGACCGGCTCTGGGCATCTAAAGAAAACGGATAGTAACACGAGTCAAACGAGCAACGAAGTCTCTTGCTTATTATCCAAGGCTATTGGAGATCGACTCGCTGGTCCAGAATTCGAACTCTTGAACCTGGGCCATTGTGGCATCAACAGCGAGCAATTAGATGGGTTAGTTGATGGAATTATAAAATCGGGCTTACGAAGACTTGGTCTTGCGGGTAATGGGATTACGTCAGTAGGGATGGAACATGTTGCTAGATGGATAAAATTCGGCAAGTGCGAAGCTCTTGATCTCGTTGGTAATGATCTCAAAGATTCTATGGAGATCGTAGCGAATGCCCTTGACGAAGACAACAAAATTTACGCCTTGAGCTTGGCAGACTGTAATCTTAATCCGGATTCGCTGTGGCCTCTTTTCCCAGCCCTGGCAAAGCTGAAGAACTTCAAGTTCATCGATTTATCGCAAAACCATGATCTGTTCGAGTCGAATCCCAGTGCACTTTCTCTTCTGCGCAGGTATGTTCATTATTTTCCTTCTATCTTCGCATAACGTTGCGATATGCAGAGATTAGTAATCTCTGCATGGTTGAAAATGGTGATCCATAATATCAATCCCTGTTGTATCTAGCCCTACAGTTTCCCGTCGACCCCATGTAACGAGAAATGATTGAGCGCTTTAGCAAGGCGAACTGCTAGATTCCATCAAGCTCTGAATGGCAATTCGGTTTAATGAAGACAGTGCCGGATATAGATGCGGCATTTTTACGGTCTCGTACCGCGACCAGTAGTTTGCTTCACTATTGTCAGCAACTTACACTGCAAGGCTTCAGTTGAATATTTTCTCAGCTTTGCTAAATTTATTCTTATTATGTTTCCAAGTACGGTCGTACAGGACATCATTGGCTGACATACCACAGATACTTACCACGTTTGCCTCAACTCAAGCGGATACATTTGACTAATGTATCCATGACCCCTGAACAAGCCATCGCCCTTGCGGAAATCTTACCAGAGAGCCCCAGTCTTGCGCATGTGACTATTATGGAAAACACGCAACTAGCTGCTCTTGCAAATGCGAAAGACGAAGCAAGTCAGGAAGAGGCTTGCGCATTATATGCCTCGTTGATGGCCGCGGTCCGAGTCTCTCAGTCAATTGTATGTATTGATATTGAAGTTCCGTCAAACGATTCGTCCGAAATTGTTAGGGCCTTGGCCAAGCAAGTCGTTGCTTACTGTCTGTGGAATATGGAACGCGGCCCAGTTGCAGAAATCAGTGAAGCTGTTGCTGCAATCTCTGATCCCCATGCAGCTGCCAACGGAAAAGACGTTGCAGTTCCCGAAGTATTGTTACACATTGTGGGGCACATGGAAGGAGTCCAAGAGAATCATGATGATGATGAGCCAGCACCTGATGAAGATTATGTGATTGGCGGGACAGGTGTGGTTAAAGCTTTAGGTATCTGTTTACGAAACAAAGGCAATGATTCTAGGAGGCCATCAATGGATCAAGCTATCTCCGAATTATCTAGACCAAGCAGCAGCTCGGCCACCCCGAACAACCCTGTGAAAGGTGGCAAAGCCAAAGATATGTCGAAGAATCTATTGGGAAGTGCCAGGAAGATTCGGGCTAGGTTACAACCTGCTCTAGTCAAGGAGTCGAAGGCCAGTGATCATCACAATTACAGTAAGAATTATCCATTCGTTTTTGCAAATATACCTTGACTCAACTGACCGCAAATCAGACCGATTACTGTTCCTTGATCATACATTACAAAACATGATCAAAAGATTTGAAGACGAATTTCCTGAGACCCGCTTGTCACCATCGTTACCCGACACGGAGCGAACAACCATGACGGATAATGCATATTCACTCCAAACTGATTACGAAGGATCAGACGTTGAACCCGAACCAATCTTGGCTGAAAATCAACCATCAGATGAAGAGGGAGGGCACGACGAGGGCAGAATTCGCCCCACTCTATCTCGTCACAATTCCGATGTCTCATTGGCCTCCAAAGCACTTTCGCAGGAAGAAGGCAGGATGCATCGTTTTGGGCAGAAAATTCGTCGTAATCTTATCAAACCAGAAAGCGAGGACAAATTACATGGAACTACAGGACACGAAATTCAACCAGCACATCTACAATTTTTAAGGTCTATGGTTGAGGACCTACAAGGCGAAGACATCAGAAATAAAATAGAGACCCTAGGCCCAGATGCGGTGATAGCCGAGCTGAACAACGAAGCTAGCATTCTTCGACAGGGACTCATTGAGAATGATCCTGAAGGTTGGCAGAAATTCAAAGAAAGCCAAGAAGCCATGCAAAG